AATACGTGGGAAAACAAAATACGATGTAGAACTTTAAACATATTAAAATTTATACAAAATAAATTATAATAAATTCTATATATATAATTTTGAAGGCAGTTTCGAAATTATGTTATTATTTTATTTAAAATAAATTTATTATTCTTCATTGATGATTTTTAAATCTTATAATTTTTCTTATCAAGCTCGTCTTTATAAGTAAATGCGAATAGTTTTTTAAAATTGAGGTTTTAATTTAATTTTTAATGTATAATTTTTCATAATCAAATTATTCATGACTAATTTTTGAAATTTATAATTGTTTATCTTCTCGAAAAAGAATGAAGAAGCATGATTTGAATTTGAATAGAAATAATACCCTAATTGTGTTTTGCTAATTGTACGAATTTTATTAGCGTATGTTTTTGTACAAATCGATTGAAAATATTATATTTAATCATTTAATGAGTATATGTTTAAAAATTATATTTAAATATTTTAAAAACTTATATACTCTTAAAAGAAATATAAACATATTATATTATTATTATTATTTATTTATTTATTTAGTTTAACCGAGGTGGGATCGAACCGGATATTCCATTATAGGTCCAACAATATCGAGATTCGAGAAGCAACCCATTACCAAATATACTCTTGCCCATTTCAGTCGCCACTAATTTAAGCAACCCACTTTATTTTCACTGTCAAATTATTTAATTTTTTATTTATGAAAACTATGCATACCAGTGTAGTACTTTGCTCTAAGACGAGACTATTTGAGCCGTTAATATTGGAAATTCCACCTTTTCTTTTCTTCTTCTTCACAGATGCAACCAAAACAATCCCATTAAAACTTGGCATAAAAGATTAGATTTTTTTCAATGGGTCTTTGACCCCAATTTCCCAGTACAACTCCTTTCTTAAAGACCCAACCTTAAACTCCCCCACCTCTCAATTTCTCTTCCAGTTTTATCATCAAGGATTTCCCATATTCCAAAACTCTTGTCTCTTAAACTTCCCAGGATGGTTACTAGGAACGTCGTCGTATCGTTCACGACGGCGGAGAAGCACAGGAAGAGATACCCCGGAGAGGCTAAAGGTTTCGTGGAGGAGATGAGGATAGTGGCTATGAATTGCATACTAGAGACCAAGCAAAGGAGGAGAGAAGGAAGGAAACAGCCTGAAGAACGGACCGTTAAGGTATGGGAGCCCACCGTTGATGGCTACTTGAAGACCTGGTTGATAGCAGTGGTTTACGATACGCTTGAAGGGATTATTGATAAGGCTGTTTTTCCTAGCTGTAAGCTCCCCCCCCCCCCTTCAGTGCCCTTTTTCTCTACGTTTTTCTTTGAATTCTAGTTCCTATGATATTTGTTTTCAGCTATAGTTTTGGAGTTTTGTAATTGATTTTAGAACCAAATCATCTGTGAGAAGGAGGGTTTATTAAGGGAAAATAAGACTAGACTGAAGCTTGAAGTTCTTTATAGTATGATACTTAGATGTTGTTATAGGATACTGTTGATTTGAACAATTTGGTGTGGTTGGCCGTTGGTGGTTTAACCTTCCGGTTGATGGGAATAAGTTAGTCTCGTCTATCATTATCGGTTTGCTCCTTTTAGTTTGAACGAAGAGCTGCAGACGGATAATGGTAGTTGGTCGGTATTGCTAGAGAGATGATAGCATAAGGGACGAGATCAAATTGTACCCGTCCAGGTTCTAAAAGAAATCAGTCTATAATGGACCTCTAAAACCAAAACGATCAAACCAAACTCACTTTCTCAAAATCCAACCCACTTAAACTCCCTGACAACCACAAAAAAAACGCTCATGATCCGTCGTATCTACCAGACTTATGGTGCATACGATCAGTCTGACTACTATGGCGAAAAAAATCGATAAGAACTCAGATTGAATGTCTTTTTTCCATGAAATTCTACATGGAATGACAAATGAAGAATATAGATTGTATGCCATTACTATGCCAATTGCCAAGATTTTTTTTTTCATTTCCGGGCTTCTGTTGTTTGGTTTAATGGTTCGATGAAGGATTCAAATAACCCTTCACATGAAAACCGAAGCACTTTGCCATTAACACAGATGATTGAATTGTAGCTGTTTAATCCTTGAAATGCATGCCTTTAAATGTATCAGTGGTGCTTACTTGTGTTAAACCCGGAGTTACAGATGCTTTGTAAATTGTAATGCACCACCCAGTTCCTAGCTGTGCTCGTATCATATGCTTGTATGTGCTTCTTGAGTGTGGTATTTATGGTTTACGATACTCCTAGAGAAAGTAAAGTGATAAGCGTGGTCTGTTCTGGTCTGCTTCAGATGCTGAATTCAGAAGCACTGGATTGGAAAGGTCGGAGAAGTTGGCGATCGATTTACAGTGGTTCAAAGAGCAAGGCTATGCCATTCCTGAACCAACTTCTCCCGGTGTTACGTACGCCGAGTATCTTAAAGAATTATCCGAAAAGGATCCACAAGCATTCATATGCCATTTCTACAACATTTATTTTGCACACTCAGCCGGTGGCCGGATGATTGGGAAGAAGGTAAACACAATGTAGGCTTCAAATGTGTAAAGTAAATTTCTTGATCCTTATCTACACTGTCTAGAATTAAGCACATGTCGTTTTGCTCCTACCTATTCATGCATTTCACCAGCTTCTATATAGGGGATATCCCATAGCCATAACCATAGCCATACTTGTAACATGTTGAATGCATACACTTCCAACAATATCTATGGTCCTTAAAATATCCACACTTAAATGAGTATTAACTTGATTTACGAGATCGAGTACTCGAGCTCATTTAAACCCTACTCTTTCTATCAGGTAGCTGAGAAGATACTTGACAACAAGGAGTTGGAATTTTACATATGGGATGGTGACCTTTCTCAATTGTTACAAAACGTGAGGGACAAGCTGAACAAAGTAGCTGAGGTAATATTCATTGTATGATTGCAGAACTCTTTTGTAAACACCATTTCCATTCTGTTCCCTTATGACTTACACGTATTTCATGTTCCTCATCGTCGCTACTGAAGAGCTGTACTCGAGAGGAGAAGAACCATTGCTTGGAAGAAACCGAGAAATCGTTCAAATATTCGGGAGATATTCTGAGATTGATACTGTCATAGGTATGCCAAGCATAACTGGCATAGTATGTTCTGGCCTTTGTGTTAACAAATCTGGAATTGTTATGGGATTTCAAGTCAAATAGTCAACACTGTGGACTGAACTTGTAAACATATTTATCAACTTTTAAACGTATTCCTTGATTTTTTCCCTTCTAATACTGTTCAGCTACTTGTAAAGTTTATATTATATTATATTATATTATATTATATTATATTATATTATATTATATTATATTATATTATATTATATTATATTATATTATATTATATTATATTGATGAATACTGATTTAGGTTCAATATTATATGGATGAATGCCGGTTTAGGTTCAATATTGATTTAGTTTCTTTTGTTTTATGTTGTAAAGTTTCTTTCCTTGTTTACGCTCCCCTCCCTAACATATGAGGTGAAATTTTGTCATTAGTCACTCTACTATTTATAAATTGTAAGTTTAGTTTTTATTTTTCATTTGAGTTAACTGGATCACACCTCCTCAAATTATGACCCTCGTTCCATATTGGTCCATAAATTTTTGATGGTTTCCATTTCATATTTAAATTATTATGATATCATTCTAAATTAGTCTTCAAGTTTTTGAATCTTCCAATTTCATTCTTAAATTGTGACATTCATTTTAAATTAATCCTCAAACTTTTGAATCTTTTAATTTCATTTCTAAATTCATTCAAATATGTAATTAGTTTCAACCACAATTTAAACTAGTTCTTATTCAAACATATAATAATATAGATTGGTTTAAAATATTAACAGAGTACATGATTAGCGTATATTAATAATTTGAGATGAAATTGAAACGTTCAAAGTTAGAGAAATTTTGGAATTACATATGATATACATTTTATTACAATATTAAAAGTATATAAAATAACAGCGCCTGTAGCTCAGTGGATAGAGCGTCTGTTTCCTAAGCAGAAGGTCATAGGTTCGACCCCTATCTGGCGCGTTTTAATCTTTTTATGCTTGTTCATATTTATGTGGCTACATCCTACATCAGTGGTGGAAAACTTATCCCCTGCTTCTATTTCTATGAGTTTTTAGTCCTCACAATTTACACCTGTGGACGGTACCACCAAGACACTTGCCCCACTTTTCATTCACACATCAACCATCCAACTTCTGGAAAATACTCGACCGCCATGAAATTATAAAGCTCTTCATTTTGGAAGGCAAAGCCAGCTTTTCCACCCATGCCTGAGCTTGTTCAATGAATTTGATACCCCCACTACCTTACAGAAGTTTCAAATTTATGTCTTACAAATTACAGACTTTATTAGAATCTCTTACCTATTAAACAATTTACAGATGTGATTGCATGAACCAACTACCTTACTGGAGTTTGACTTCTTTTGCTGAATGATTTAGTTACTTAAACCGGAAGAAATTGTTATGAGATTGGGGATAAACGTGATGCTGGTGCGAGTAAAAGACATGGTTGAAGTTCGAGTGCATGACCAATGCCAATTCCCTTGAAGCTAGTCTTCCTAATTCATCAAACTCAGGATCCATGGGTGGAACGAAATGAAATCATGCATGGCTAGACCCTTTTCTTTGGAATCCATTGCCAGAACTGTGCAAATTTACTAAAAAAAAAGAGCAAATTTGGTGACTTTTTTTTTTTCTACAAAGCTTAGAACTTCAGAGAACAGAGAAAAAGAAAAAGTGGGTCTGTCAATTGTACCACTAGGTAAGGCTAAATGGAAGCAGAGTCATTTATCTCAAGTGAATTACTCAAACACCCTTGGCATAGCAGTTTACATCATCACATTATGTCAATTGCTAACTGGAACTAGGGGGCAATAAGGTCAATTTCCTTCCACAAACAAACCAGGAACCAGCATCTTATTAGATTCTTTTTTTCTTGTCAAAAACCCCAAAAGAAATATTGCTTTGTGGCAAATACAGCGCGCAGAGAATGGCTAGTGGCTTCTTGTTGACTGCTGCTTCATTTCTACCTTCCCAAAGTAAGCCCTTTTCTGATTCTTAGTATAAAATTCAGTACTTCATTACATAAAAGAAATTTGAGGGAGAGGGTAGTGAAATATGGGCATATTTTTATGTTTTCATTGAGCAGAAATATTATTGAAAAGAATTAATCACATACTTATTTCCAACAGGAAATGAAGTTGGTGGTCTTCTGGGACAAATGAGGAGCTCATTCCAAGGGAAAGTAGGATATAAGCAATGTTTTTTAAGAAGAGCATCCAATAGTCCTCGTGAAGGCAAACTTCTTGTTGCATCAGTGGTTGTTTTTTTTTGAACTATGACATTTGTTTCTTTTTTTTAAGCATTTATTTCCTCCTGGAAACTTTGAATTCTTAAATGATAAGTGGTAGATGCAGATAAAAGCTTTAGTTTATGTCCAGATTGGTGGCAGGAAGTAGTAATTGTGATTGAACTGATTTCGAGTTATCGTCCAGGCTTTAATTTGTAATTCATGACTTGAGATAGTTGTTTTGATGCTTGGCAGCTTGGGAGGAAGGTCCAAAAGAAAGAAACTGTGGTTCCTGACCCGGATTATCGCATACCAGTTGTCCTACTCGGTTGGTTCTCTGCATTTTCCATACTCAGAGATGCATCCTTTTTTTTTGGTATCTTGGTTGGTCTTGAATGGCATCATGCAAACTTTGTAAGTTTGCCTATTTTGTTTGTAGATGAATAAAATATCAAAACTAGGACTATAATAGTTCTTTCAACAATTCGTTGTTTATTTCGATGTTGTTTATTGTCTGGAGATTAGGACCATTCTAACTATATGAGCCAACCTGCATTCTGGTCTGAACTTTGTAAGTTTGCCTATTTTGTTTGTAGATGAATAAAATATCAAAACTAGGACTATATAGTTCTTCAACAATTCGTTGTTATTTCGATGTTGTTTATTGTCTGGAGATTAGGACCATTCTAACTATATATGAGCCAACCTGCATTCTGGTCTGTGAATAAGGTTGCATTTATAGTTGCATGAGTTTTGCACTGGTTTGCAAGCAATCTTTTAATGCCTCCTCTGTTCGTTGTTTGCTTCTTTACTATTGAAATAACCATCTCTTGATTGATCTTGTTCTTTATAAAAAATGAATGCACAGCATGGTCTGCTGTTAATATGCCGTCTTCCCGTTTTCGAAGTTATATTCTGAAAAAATATTTATTGAAACAGGTCTAGCTGGTGGATTAGCTTATACTGATAACCTATTACCAGCTGCTCCTGTTGGTCTACTTGGGTTGCTTCTGTTGTTCCAGGTATCAATAACTAGAAATAGTTTTTCGTTGAGACGAATCTGAATTGCCACCATCAGAAGAGCTTTACTCCTTTGATGAAATACAAAGCAGTTTATAAGATACCATTCTGATGAGATCCACAAATCTCCAATTTCTACATCATTTTAGTTTCCATTTCAATATTTTAGCAGCAACCAGCTGACAGTTTGTTCTTGTAGACTACTCGAGTTAGATTTGTCTTCGATGACGAGGCACTGGTTAGTCCATTCTTGTATGCTTTCTTCATTGTTGCGGATTTGGTGCTAGATTTCTCCACTTACGCATATGTGAACGATGACATTTGTGGTTTTAGGAGGTGAAAGTAGGGGACCAGCTTCAGGATTCAGGTGAAAATGTCTTTGTGGGTGGTAAAAACCGTTGGAAGTAAGTAACCTTTCCAACTTCTATCCAAGTTCCAAAAGGGTAAGCCACTTACCTATCTATTTTACCGCAGGTACTCATCATTTGTGAATTGGGAACTTTGGTGGCGAAGTTTTCCAATTCTGGTGTATTTTAAGGAGACTCAGACAAAGCCTGAAGGACAAGTTCACTTTTTCCCAGTCATTTTTGTAAGTGTATCTTGCCCACCTTTCTCAGATCCGTTTATTTGGTTTTGAGAAAACTCGAGAGATGAAAGTATACCGCTCAGTCACTCGAATATTATAGCTGTCGATACATGTTAATACAATCTTTGATCTGTGATTATTTATTCTTTGAAAAATTGTTACAACTAGAATGGAAAACAACTCTATGACGTGATGGTAGAGAGAGCCGGTCCTTCGAAAACTAGCGGTCCGAAATAATCAAGAAGATTTGGACTTATATTATGAGAGATTCCGAGATCAAACTTCAAAAGCATAAGGTTTGAGTGAGTCACAACTCCAACAGGCAAATCTTGTAATGATCTTTACAGTAACGTCTTAAACCTTGCTACTGCAGGTTAAAACTTGCCGTGCCTGTCATTTATTTGAAGCATCATGAAGTGCATATTGTATCTCTAGACTGCAACTGGTCTTCATTGTCAGATCTATCATGTATTAATTCACAATTTGTACTGTATTCAACTATAAAAGATGTAAGATTCAAGGCTGTATATATTAAAGTTTCATGGTTTTGCAGGGGTCCAAAATTTGACCAATTGTAATTGATTATTCTCATTAATATGAACCAGGGAAGTCTGAGAAGAAGTAGAACAGAAGTAGAACAGTTCTTTGCTAACTCAAGTTTTGTAACCTTAGCTTCAGTTTGTTCACTACAAATTTAATCAAACAGTAGATTTGTAAACAGAAATTACAAAAGAATTGAAAAGCTGCCATCAACCAACCAATCACCAAGAGAAGAGAGCACTGATGGTAGAACCTTTTATCGGCTTTGGTACAACTCTATCATAAACATGAAGAAATGTGTATTCGGATGAACTGCATTCCACAGCGGGCTGAGAGAAATGGCGTGCAAAAGAACAGATTTCCAGTAAGGTTGTCATCCATGGAAAATTTCGCGGTGCTTGCATTAATTATTGGTGCAATGAGCATCTGAACCATGCTGGGTGCAATGAGTATAACCCAGACTACTTAGGAAGTCCCTTATCTCTTTGGCAGTAGTGTTACTTGCTTGCAACAGCCGCTCATCTTCCTCGTAGATTAGGTAAGGGGCTTCGCCTTTTTTCCTGGACAATAACTTTTTCGCTCCCTTCAGTACATGATACTCCCATCCCTGAACGTCGATTTTAAGCAGAAGCACTGGCTCTGACACCGGGATTACTTCATCCAGAAGGATGGACCTCACTTGCACTGCTATTTCTTCATTGGACTTGAATGCCAGCTTCGCACCGACTGCCGAAACGGCACTGTTGTCAAGCCGACCAACCAACTGGAGAAAATGCGCAGGTTTTCACATGAGAAGCAGAAAAAGGAACAATAATGCAATAAATGAAGGAAGCAGTATATGAGAATGGATTAACATTAATTCCGAACGCCAAAATTACAACAGATAATAAAGGCAAAATCATACCAGTTCTCTCTCTCTCTCAACCCAAACCCCTAAAGCTTACCATGTAACCTGCTCTCTCATTCTTCCAATCAAAATTTACTAAGATCCGTAAAAAGTGACTAGCAATTGCAAAATCATAATCAAATTATCACCCCGGTTTAACTTCAAGCAATGAGCACAACGTCTGCATAATCGAAAGTGAGACTCTCACAGTACCTAGGAAAATCCAAGTTTGATCTTCTTCTATCCCGACACTATGGCCCCCTTTGTACCAAAAGAGAAAAAAATCCAAGTTTTCGTATCCCAAAATTCCATTCTAAATTGAATTCAAAAACAATTGTCATCGATGATCAACCCAAGAGAGTTTATCTGGTCCTCACCAGCTATTGGATCTAGTTGATAGTAAGTTAACCATTGACTTGAAACATAAGGAAAAAATAAGGCAAGTTCTATAGGTTAGACTGGGACTGGATTCATTGAGAGCAGCTGAAGCACCTAACCTACAGAGGAAAGGGCTGTTGGATAAATGATTTTGATAACTGCATAAGGAACCAAATGGAACTGTTCTCCATCCCAAATATCAGTATATCACAAGGAACAACCAGGAGGTGCCTCATTTTCATAGAGCCTTAAGAACTTTAAAAAAAAATTAAAAAAAAATGCAGCAAATGAAAATTGTTCCCAAAAAATCAAACTTGCAAACAAGTTCAACAGTCCCACCACCAAATTCCCATTTTTAACACCTCATAAGCCACTTCTATAAATTTACGTTATTTTGCTAAGCATAAATTAACACTAAACTATAAGCTCACTAATCTCAAAGCTAGGGGCATCAAATCGGCCAAAAGAAAGCCATGAATTAGAAAACTCGTACCTTATGGAAAGTAATATTTCCATTACGATCAGATGCGGCTGCTTCAAAAACAGTAATCAATTCCTCAATCCTATTAAACCAAATTCCATCACAAATCCTTTGCAAATTCTCCAAAACCGGCTCAAAGGCCAACACCCTGAACCCCATAACAGCTGCTGCGAAACTCGCCATCCCGACGTTGGCACCGACATCGACGAAAAACCCATCTTTGTTTTTCCCTTCCAGAAAATCCTGAATGGTGGCCGAGATGTCAGGCTTACGAAAGGGCTTACCTTTAAGAAGTCTCACGATGTCCTTGTGAGGCTTGTCAGGGAGGGAACCTAAATCAGCTAGGGAGTAAATGAAAGGGTGTTTGAGATTTTCTACTCTGTTTGCAATAATGGGATGGGCTTGCGGGGAGTTGCGGCAGTTAAAAGGAGGGATTGAGAAATTCTGGGCATATTTTTGGGCGCTATAAGAGGCAGTTGTGGGGATAAAGGTCGGGTTTTTAGGGGAAAGCAGAGAGAAACAGAGGTAGACGAAGAGGGTGAGGAGGAGGAGAGGAAGGAGGGTTCTGGGTGAGAGGAACTTTTGGGCTTTGCTGCTTTCTCTTTTCCATGCATTTGCCATGGGAATTTAGTAATTTTCTCTTCAATGGATTTTCCCGGAAAATTGTGGAGCTCGACAGATCGGATCTCTGGGAAAATCTAGCCTGAGCTTCTGAGTTTTGAATAAAGGAGTTGCTTTTGGAGTGAGTTGCTTGTTAATTACCAATTATATGTTGCCACGTGGCAACTTCTCTGTTCTTAAACACGAAAACTATGACATTAATTAAGGTATTTAAACGTAATGTGTCACGCTTATTATATTAACTATATCACTGCTATAGTACCATAAAAAATATGTAGCCATGGAACTCGGGAAAAGAACAGAGAAAGTTGGAAACGTCACTTTGCTCTCTCTCTCTCTCTGGCATTGCATTTTCACATTCTACATTCCCTTGATTTCCATTTCTTTCATGATTAGTTACGCAAATTTAGGAGCAAATAAATGTAAAAATCTTTGCTTGTGTTTAGCACCAAATAAAGGTGGAGGCTCTCCTGTTTTGTTTATCTTTGAAGCTTCCCAGAAATCAGCAATTAAGCTCTTTAAATTCTGCTTTTTTTTTCTTGTAATGGCTAATTAGCTCAACTTTAAAGTGTAGTTTTAGTTCATTACAAGGGGCCATTTAATGCAAATGGTGAGTTCTGATAACATCTTTAAATGTTCGAGACTGAATGCTCTGATGATGTTCTTTCTTTCCATTTGCAGGCTACATGTTTTACCTTCATTTTTATGAAACTACGCTTGCTTTGTTCCGATGTCGTCGCCATGAGATCATAGGTGGTTGATGTCTTGGATTTTGGTGCTGTTGGAGATGGAACTGCTGATAGTTCTGAGGTAAATTCACTTCGTTTTAGTTCAGTTTTCACCCCATGGTTCTGCTGCAAATGAAAGTTCAAGTTCAACATTTCATTTGTTTCAGGCATTTTTGAAGGCCTTGAATTTCGTATGTAGCAGAGAGGTAGAAGATGGTGTACGGATTATATTAGTTCCAGAAAACCGAACGTTTTTGTTGCATCCACTCACATTTAACGGCCCATGCACAGATAAAGAGATCAAGTTTCTGGTTTGTCCAAAAATTAACATTTTCCCGCAGTTTTTTCATGTAAAAGACAACGTGATTCTTACGATCTTATCAGATGATGGGAAGAATAATATCACCGATTTCACCCAAGACATGGGAGGGATTCGACCAGGGAAAATGGCTAACGTTTAACGGAGTTTCGGGGCTAAAAATCTAAGGTCGAGGCGAGATCGACGGACGAGGTTGGGGTTGGTGGAACCAATCATGCAGATATCATCCACACATGGTACTGTTTCAATTGTATCATCTCCTGAAGCAAAGTTCGTTTTCTGATTCGGTTTTTTCTTACATGAGCCAACTTCTCCAGGAAGGGTGCACTTCATTGGCACCAACAGTAAGTAGATTTCTCGATTTTGATTACGCTGCTCAACACCGGTGAAGCAATAAGATGATTCCTGAAGTTCAGCTCCTGTGTTTGATGCATTCGCCAGCAGTCTCAGCCAGGTTCGACTAATGAATAATTCTCAAACGCATGTCCTAATAAGAGGAACCAACGATTTTGTCGTCGACAACCTGGTGATAACAGCTCCGGAAACCAGACCCAACACCGATGGAATTCATATTAGTTCAGCTAGCAATATATTCATCAGAAACAGTGAATTGGAACTGGTATAACAATCTTTTCATGCCATTACTTGAATTGTTTTACGTAGTTCTTATAATGTTCATATCAGATGAAAAATCGAATCACCATCCTCAGCTGTGATTAAATCAGGGGACGATTGTGTTTCGATCGGAGATCACACTACTAATATCCATATCTCTCATGTAAAGTGTGGACCTGGTCATGGAATACGGTGAAACTTTTATCTGATGAGATTTGAGCATACAATCCCTTGGAACATAGTGATTGTCCTAGGATTTTTCAACTTTCAACTCACGTGCCTGCACATCTACTGCTGAGCAACGTGGTTTTCAAAGCACTTGTCACACTACTGATGCTTTTGTCTCTATTTTTTCTTTGTTAAAAAAAAACCAGCCTTGGAAGCTTAGGAAGGGCAGGAAATTTTGTACAAGTGCATAACATTCGTGTAACACTGTATCCTTCAAAGGAACTACGAATGGAGCTCGAATCAAGAAATGGCAGGTAACTAAAAACGACTCTTAAACGTGTATATATTGCTATCTTCCAAGCAAATATAATATTGACTGCAAATTCCTGTAAGGTTGGGAAAGGTTATGTTCGAGGAGTTATATTTGAGAATCTATCCTTCGAGTCAGTGAAAAACCCGATAATCATAGACCAAAACTACTGCAATGTTAGGGGTGCTTTCCGGGAACTGGTAATTAGAACAAGCCCTTGGGTCATTTTCGAAGAAATCCAGAGCTGAAAACTAACCAAAAGGAACCAATTTTATGTTAGGAAACTGGTGTTGAAAGGAACGTGGTTTACAAGAATGTTACTGCAATCTGTTACTGCAATCTGTGTTGCTTAAGTCTGCACTAACCGGGAAGAATGTTAGTTCAAGTTGCATTAATGCTCATGGTGCAGCTATTGGAGTCGTTCAACCGGCTCCTTGTTTCCAAGATTTTGACCATTGAAGGGCCAGTTTTAAGGTTTTTGTTGTCGTTTTATTATGTAATCCATCAACGATAGCAATTGATCTTGAAAATTGGGAAGAACTTTGAATAAGCTCAAGAAAAATCTTGAACCATTTTCTACATATAATCATATTGCTATGCTATTCAGTTTCTTCTATAATAGGAAGATCTACAATGGCTAGTTTTGGTCCTTTTTAAGAGCATATTCTCCTGGATTTGGCTTGTACATTTTGGTACACAGAAGAAATAACCCCAAGTTTATGAGGCTTAAAACAGCCAATCATGACCATCATTGATCCTACGAGCCAGCCAATCACGACCGCCCTTCATTCCGGTAACTTTCCTTGCTATTTCGACTAGTATGGTGCTTTTGACACTGATAATCTGCAATCCTAGAGTAGCCTAACACTTGTCCTCAGAAGAGGAGCCATTAACAATGGTGTCCATTTGAATGGCAGGTTTGGGTTTCCTGCGCTTGTACCAAGCCGCTGAAACAAGGAACAGAACAAAATTTATGATCCCCAAAACGGCTAAAAGTCCATAGAAGCAATCAAGTCTGCCATGTTTTATGTTATCAGCCAACCATCCATGGCCACCGTTACTGCTTCCCGTCACACTTTTCACCACCGCTACCAATAAACTGCTGACGAAGAAACCGAGCGATAGTGTTGAAAGGAACAGACCGGTACTCATGGTTTTCATCCCTTTGGGAGATTGCGTGATGAAGAAGTCAAGCTGGCCTGTGTAAATGAAAGCCTCACCAGCACCCACCAGGAAGAACTGTGGGATCAACAAGAACACGGTTACAGGCAGGGCTCCTGTGTTAGCATCGGTTGATCGAGCCACTGCGAGTCTTTTCACCTCGGCTATCGCTGCTGTGGCCATTCCAAAAATTGACAGTACTAATCCTATGGCCATTCTCTGTAGGCTGCTGAAACCTGGTTTTCCTTTCAATTTCTTCCAAAATGGCATAACAAGACGATCGTAAACGGCCAGAGTGATCAAAATCGCTCCCACAAAGAAGACAGTGAGGGAACCTGCTGGGATTTGGAAACCTCTAATTGATCTTTCCATGGTGGAGGCTTGCTCCACTGAGAAGGTCATCATTTGTGCGTAGGTGGTCCAAAATATGATGGTCGTGGCCCATATTGGAAGAAGCCCCGCCATCATTTTCACTTCCTCAACCCTTGTGACCGAGCAAAGTTTCCAAGGATTTGGAAGGCATCTCCCAAAATCTCCTTCCCCAACAATGGCTGCCTTGTCCAAGAACCTATAATTCACAAACTATGAATGAAACAAGGCCAACGAAACGCATAAACGATGAAAAAACGATTTGAAAACTCACTGGAATCCATCCGTATGAAGAATTCTCGATGTTTCAGGAGTGTCTTCGTATAACAATTCAACACTGTAAGGCAGTTCCATATTCCTCTTATTTATTGCAGCAACAAGGACCTGGAAGATCTGAACTATCGGACTCCCCAAGCTTTTCTTATACCTGTATCTTTTGGTCCCTGATAACAATATCAAGATGGCTATAAACATCGAAACCGAGCAAATCCCATAAGCCCAGCTTCGACCCACTTCATCTTGTATGTAAACAAGCACCGTGACAGCCATCAAGGTTCCAATACTGATGAAGAAGAAGAACCTGTTGAAAAAATAAGCCATCTGGGACTTCTCCTTCTCATCTTTTTCATCAAATTGATCGGTTCCGAAGCCCGAAACACTCGATTTTAGACCACCAGTTCCCAGTGCAATTATATATAGAGTCAGGTACAAAATTCCCATCTGAAATCCATTGGCTGGTTTGCATGCATGGGGAGCAGATCCATTGCATGGTGCTGGGCGTAACTGTGGCAGCTTTGTAGCCAGTGCTAATGTGCCAGTCCCCTAAATCACCATATCATCATCACAGTCAAAAACTGAACAAATTAAGGATCGAAATGAACATTTTTCTTTGGTTCTTTTTATGTTTGTTGAAACTTTAAACACCCACCAGTGTTTGTATAAGGGAAAATATAGCAATTGTTCTGTATCTTCCGAGGAATGAATCGGCAAGAAAACCACCGAGCAAACACAATAGAAAAGATGTGCCCATGAAATCTGTGACAACGTTGGCTGAAGTTGAACTGGGTAAATGCATTGTTCCAATCAAGTATGTCACAAGGTTAACTGCAATCCCCATGGTTGATAGCCTCTCGCATATCTCAATCCCTGTGAAAATGGTTTCAACGAATCAGTAATTTCTTGTAATTATCAAATTACTTCATTTACGACATAAAGATTCGAACCTAACAAAATAATATTCTAATTGATGTTAGTAAAATGTGAAAATATAATAATGTTGTAGAAGTGAAGTCATGTAATAATAACATAATGTATTATGGCGGTCTCCTTAATTAATTTCATGTATGAATGGCCCTACATATAGTATCTTTCTTGTCCCATACTCCAAAAGGAAAATGACATGAATTTCATCACCATTGTTTTGGAAGTATTTATGTATTGCAGTTCTGATGGGTCCCCTACATGTTACTCAAATTTTGATACATAGAACCATGTGTGACATTTTCTCTTATGTGCGAGAGAATTCTTGTTAGTGCTGAATTTATTTGCAAACTGTGTTTATTTTACTGTTAAAGACCTGTGTAAGTTCATGTGCAAAACCAGCTCAAGAAATTGTGCTGAAAGAAAACCAAAGGAGGATTATGTAAATAACAAACAACCTAGAATGAGTGCAGCTGGAATCCAACCACCCGTTTTTGATTTGTCAGCCTGGAAACCCTTGTAGTCCACCGCATCGGCCACCGTGAAACTCATCTTCCCTTCCTGATAAAAGGAAAAAACCATCAACATAGTATTTCAGAAGCATTGAATCAAACAATCATGTTTATAAAACAAAGGAGGACCATGGGTTGTCAGCCATTATCACACGATATATATATATTGTCATGGAAACTCAAACTGACCATTTTTCTGAATGTTTCAACAGTTGAAGAAACGAGCACAACTACGGTGAAAAAGTAACTTTAAATCCAATCTTGAAAGTGTTGGAGACTAGTTTCCCATTTTATAGGCAAGTTTGGAAGTTAAAACACCTATAAAATGACTCTCCACTAAGTAAATAGGACAGATTATTGGTCTTGTTTTTGTGGGTGGATGGTTCTAAACCATAGATATTGTTGGCAGATATGTTTCCGAGAAGATATAAGGAAATTTTTAAAGGTGATAGTGATGAAGGCGGTTAAGCGGAGAAATAGAATCTGCAACATGCAGAATTTGGAGTTTGCGAAGGTGGTGAACCAAAGCACCGTGGCCTACGCGTTGTTTAGTGCGTTCTATACCCCACATCCCAATAAAACCTCACCGCCTCAACAATACGACGATAATGTTATACAAGGAGAGAGCAAAGGGTTACCTGTAATATGTGACGGCCCCTTTTTTGACATGTAAACAATGGTGACAGAGAGCGTAAAGGATTATTTATCACGTATGTTTTACTGCAAAGTGGCAGTTCTTTCTGCTTTTTGAGTGTTGATTTTTATGAAAAGCTTACAGGTGTTCGACCCCGGAAATTTCCTCTCTTTTTTCTCTTCTTTTTCACATTTCTTATCATCTCAATTGCAGGTAATCTTCATACATATTAATCATAGATAAGTCCATGTGCAGCAGCAATCAAACAAAGTGTCCTGAAATCACACGGTAGGGATGACAATAATGATTACACAGGAGAAGCTTGGTGTGATCAAATGTCTCTCCACCTCTAATCTTCTTCACCACTTGCACACACTCTAACATGAGCATCATCATCAGACAGATATCAATTGATGTTATGTTTCATTTGACCATATTGTTTTGGAGTCATTCAACTAGTGTAAAGCATTGCTTAATAATCAAGGTTTGTTGCTTTGGGTCAGATTTTGTTTAATATAACGAGAATTGCTCCTTAGAGTTGATGGATTCCAGGATTTTTTTCTATTATTTTATAAAAAAACATGTACTTAAAGGGTTCAAGTTGTTTTTAATGTGATTGGTTCTTCAAAACCATGACAAATGACAGGCATTCAGGAGATCATAGTTCAATCATTGAATGCATATAGGAGGCTCGTCTTATCCCAACCCTTTGATCGGATATGTGTTTTATACGAATATAAGACGAGTACAATGAGAGTCAAGTAGGTGTTGTTTTAGCTGCCACAGAATGTGTCTTTGGTAGCGTGTACGTATCAAAATGGGAGATGTGAGGGTGTAATATTATGCAGCAGTGACAGAGAGTTTATCCCAATCGTCCCAAAATCGATAAATCTAAAGCTCGTAGACCAACAATCGTGATTTGTTTTTTAGCAGCAAAATGGAGAAACGGTCCCCAGTCCAAACCCAACCATATTTCAACACATCAGACCTTATGGTCCAAAAGAACATGAATGAAGCAAAGAAAATGATAGAGACCCACCCTGCTTTGCAAGAAAAAAGAGACGACAAAAAAATATTAATCACAGATCGTGAGCGGCAGGATTCGAACCTGCGCGGGCAGAGCCCACATGATTTCTAGTCATGCCCGATAACCACTCCGGCACGCCCACTAGATTGTGACTCTTAACATATCAAAAGATAGAGTTTTGAACATGATTTAAGATGAACAAAAGTCAATTCCATTTTAAAAAAATTAAATAAAATTTGATCCATCAACTCAACAAATTTAACATTTTAAAATTCGATCATATATTCAACCCTAATCCCTCATACCTCTAACTTCTCCCTCATTTGAATTTTATTTTTGATAAAAATCAAATCACATGTTCTTCTACTACTAAAATGTATATAAAATATTAATGTAACTTCCGTTCTTACTTTTAACAATTAATTTTTCTTCTTAATTTTTTAACTTTATACTTCATTTAATTTATATTTTTATTATAATTTTTTCCCACAAATCAATATTTTGTCCCCAAGACATTTTCTTTTATACGTAAAAAAATACAAAGAATATATATATATATATAGTCATCAAATTGAACCAATCTGTGCTATAATCTTACATATATTTATAAGTGAATTTGAAAAAAAATTAAAAAATTCAATTAAACTCAAATTTTATAAATTTAACCCGACTAAAAAAATCAAATAAATAAAAATTTGAATCTGAAAATCAAGTACTCAGCCTAGAGACAACACCAAGAATCAAGTACAGTGGGAAATTCTCCAGCCAAAAACATTTCCCCTTAAATTGTTGCAAAATCCTACCCCAAATTCTCGTGGGAAATAGACGATAAAACAAAAGGTTCATGCTGGGATCAAATGGCAAAATTTGTGTTGGGGTCAAGTTAAATCTAAAGTTAGATTTATATAACCCATTTCAATCCCAATGTAATGCAATTGCTTGTGTGTGTAAGCTATAACAGAAAAGAAAGCATATTAAACAGGCTACATTACGCAATAGCATCATTCATACTAACCTGCCGTAAGTATCGATTCAGGATTATCCTTTTTTTCTCAATTCATAGGTAAACATAAACGACATAACAATCGCATTTAAGGTCAAATTATAAAAGAGTTGTTCAATTGTGGCACAACTTCATCAGTCAAAGCCTCTAAAGGACCGACCACCACAATCCGAGAGGCCCGCCACACCGAAAATGAATTTTCATAAGATTCTAGATTAAGAGCTTCTCAATAGCATCCTACATTTCACAAATGAAAAAACAGAAGATGCAGAAGCAGATTCAGCCAAAAAGGGTGCAAAATATCATTAATTTTACAAGGTAACAAAAAGTACCTTGAGTTGTTGTATTTGGGATTTCAATTGGCTTCCTTCGTTTGTTGTGACAGAACAGGAAATTACAGGTCTTGTAACCCCACATGCTCGTCCAAGTGCTTGCTTTGAAGGAACAAATACATAGGGGACATTCTGCAAAAAATCAAATACAAAGTAAACTATTGTGCTCAAAATCTAGGTAATGAATCAAGGTGTTGTAGCTAAGATTTTGCTTCTATGATGAACTACTTTAAATTGAGAAATCAAGATGATGTGTTATAGGAATGCTTCCAAGCACAAGAGTGGGAAACAATTTACATTAAACAGAGTGTATAAAAGTCAAAGATGCATCAAATTCACAGCTAGTGAGTACACCATTGATTTGACGCAATAAAATCAGACACCCCAGAAGACAATTAGTCAAACCCTAAATCAAAGCTAAATATTACAGCAGTGATACGACTAATTAACACGTTAAAGTTGGGGCACAGAACAACACATACAACAACCATAAGCACATCAACAATAAATACATATACTAATCATAAGTACTAAACAAAAGAGGAGAAAACTCCAAAACTGCCGAAGATCATATGTCTTCATATAGTAACCCAACTTGTAAGTTACAGTTGAGTTTGGCAATTAGAAGCAAGTTTGCAGCTTGATATGGTAGCTTTCCCACATTATTATGTGATGTATACACAATTCAAATAGTGCAGGCAAAGCATAAACTTATATTATATCCCATTCAATCAAGCAATTTCAACCTGCCTAACTTTGCATCCAAATAATTTTTAAAACAACTAAAATACCACTTAGCAATAACTTTTCCTAGAGTAAACTCACATATTAAACAAGAATTAAGCAATCAAAATGTTTATACCAGAAAAAAGAAAAAGAAAAATATGCATATTCCATAGAACAATTACCTTGTCTTCAGCAAGCAAAGGAAGGTGGAGCAGAATCTCAAGGGGCTTAGTATCCGCAGCCATCACAATGAACTCCGAGATACCTCTGTTCAGGGTCTTGGTAGCTAAATCCCAAACAAATCCAATTAAAGAAGAAAAAAAATGAAGAAGAAGATCAGGATAAAGAAAACCCATATCGGAAACGATAACAATAATTACAATAAACGAAAAAAATGGAAATGGGTATTGTTTATTAACCTTCATTAGCTCCCTTTTTGAGCTGCTTGTAGTTTGCAGCTTATTGTACAAGATCTAAAATCGTCGTTGTCAACTGAGCAATTGCTAGTGGGTATGCTTTGGGGTTCACAGATTCTCCAATCTACAAAAAAATATCAGCCAATTGTAAGATATAATGCATAGATAAAACTACACGAGTTTAAAAAAATAAGAGAGAACCATTATCATTTTTCTCTTGGATAAAAAGGGGCGCTAGGGTTTATGAGGGAAATAACGCAGACACTTACATTAATAGATATTGTAACTCGGATCGGTTCCACCAGCTATGGACCTGAATGTAGTAGGAAGTAGGAACCCGACGGGTATGTCATGGTACTCGAAGGTCAAGTCAAACTCCAAACTCATTCCTTTCTTTTATTTGTTCTTTTCAATTTCATTTCATTCTTAATTTGCAGGGCGTTTCGTAAAGATCTTCATTGGGTTGGATTGAAGAAAACATGAAATCCACTAATACCAGACAAATTCTCTCTCAAGCCATTAGCCTCGGTGCGTTTCTCCCTTTCTCTCTCAATTTCTCGAAACATTTAATAAAAGACTGATTATTATTATTTTAATTAAATCTTGTTAAGGAATGGTTGTTTCATTGGCGTTGATGACATGGAAAGGATTGATTTGCATTACTGGAAGCGAGTCGCCGGTCGTGGTTGTACTATCAGGGAGTATGGAACCTGGTTTCCAACGAGTAATTTTTTTACATGCATTTTCTTTCTTTCTTCTTTCATTTAATTTTGATTAGTCATAGGTAAAGAATCTAATGTAAATTTAAATACTTTTGAAATGCAGGGAGATATCTTGTTCCTGTACATGAATAAGGATCCTATTCGCACGGGACAAATCGTTGTCTTCAATGATGTACATCATATACAAATTATACACTTGTTTTTTCAACTATTTTCATGTTTGAAGCTTGTTTTATTCATTCATTTTTTTTTCTCTGTACTAAGTAGGGGCGTGATATTCCAATTGTTCATCGGGTGATTGAGGTTAGATCCTTTTGAGATTTTATGTTTGGTTCTTTACTCTCTGCCTGTTTACTCGTATAAATGCTGAACAAAACTACATTAGTTCGACTCGAGTTGAGTGTTGGATACGTGTACGAGTCCAATGCAGATATGTTTGGACTTTGGAATTTTGAAGGTTTTCTCAATGTTACTTGGAAACTATCTAAATACATTGATTAAACTGTCTAGTTTCTACAGAGTAGGGTACAACGGTACATCATAGTGACTTCCTAGAGTCACCTTTGTTGTTTGGTTACCACATTCCAGCCACTCATCCGGGTCAGGAAACACCATTGAAAAATGTGTGCTAATCCATACCATAAATGATCAGTCTGATAGCCTTTGTTTCTTCTCTAGTTTCAATGTATTTTCTAGTATATGGTGCTTCTCTATATGTTGCTAATATTGAGTTCTACCGGACTCATCTTTATTCGATGATGAAAGTTTGAACTGCTTGAATGTCAAGTGTGAAACAAAAGCTTTCCATATGCTGATATAGAATGTCTCAAGCAATTAGAAATAAATAGTTTTGATAAAGCTCACACCATGTTCAACTCTGAGAGTCATGTCATGAACTTTGTGTACAACGGCCTATGCTAGTGATCGAACTTTTTCTGAAATGTATATAGGTGCCATGGCTGTAAACTATTTGAATTAAATGATGCCCTTCAGGTTATTTTGTATGTTGGGCTTAGTATATTGCCTGTTCTGTTATGCCTTTTCAGGTTCATGAGCGGCAAGATAACAAAGAAGTTGACATTCTCACAAAAGGTAACATGTTCTTGATATCAAGCTAGTTGAACATGAGCAAATACAAGTTGTGCACCAATGTAATGGAGTGTGGACTCTTGGTTTATTTTCTTTTTTTTCTGCGGTTGCGCTTTTTTCTTCTCCTCAAATATCTTCATATGACATCTAGTTCCTTCATCTACTAACCCTTTTAATCGCTTGACTGGACAATATTCATCAGGAGATGATAATGAAGATAATGATAGGATGTTGTACGCATCTAATCATGACTGGTTGCAACAAAAATACATCATGGGCAGAGCCATCGGGTAAATCTAGCATCTGTATTCCAAAAAATGTTGAAAATTTCTAGGAGTGAAAACATTTGTAAAACACACTGATAAGGAATTTCTTGCACCACCCATTTGTGCTATAAGCTTTGAGTTTACTAGTTCATCACACCTCATTTGTCAAAAATAGCATTACTGGATTGTGTTTTGGCATATATCATTGTTCAATACTGATAAGCATATCAAGGGATAAGATTTACAGAGCATGTGAAATTTTGGGAACTAGAATTTAGTGAAATGAATTGTCTATTGTTCATGCCAATTTAATGGTTTAGTATTATACTATTATCATCAACCGTCAGTTTGACATTTGTCAAATTACCATCTGGGAAAGATTTGACCTAGAATAAGCTTAACTTTTCTTCTTTTGAGGTCTTCTCTCTACCATATTTGTCAATAATAAGGCAAAGACTATAAATCAATGCCATGAATATTCTGTTCATATGCTTAATTGTTTCTGTACATAAATAACTATTCCTGAACTCATAAGCACATTTTGCCCCTGCATGCTTATCATAATTTCCTGTTCATCATAGCATCTATTGTTTTGACATAAGTACTCGTGTATGGTATTCGTCTCAAACAGATATCTGTACGTGTATAGGCTAGATAAGTTAATAACCCTCGAAATACATGAAAAGAGTTCGAAAAAAATAAACATACCTACTTACACGTGCGTCCAAGTAACATAGATATTCAAGTTAGCAGAGTGGAAGTTATACTTGAAGACAGGTTTGACCAAGAACAAGGTTAAAATTATAATCGGGTTTTAGGGTGACATTTATCTGATTTTCACTTTTGCTACTTTATCTTGATGTTAAAAGGTATTATGTTCTTACTGTACAGGTTCTTGGCTTATGTTGGGTGGTTCACAATTATCATGACAGAAAAGCCTATAATCAAGGTTTGAAACTTTTGAAGTTTTAAAGTTTTTTTTTTGTGGAAAAAAAACCTATAATACATGTGTCATATTCGTGTTTATATATATATATATATGTATGTATGTATGAGACATCTGTCATCATTTTAATCTCGTTAGAAGAGAGTGTTGGTATTTCTGTCATAATATCCAAGTGGTAAAAGAGTGTATTGTACTTATTAGAGGTCCTGAATTCAAATAATTATATTTACAGTGTGTGTACGTTATCAATGATTAAAAAATATTATGAACATATATTACCTTATAATCACCATAAACTATTCAACTATCAGTGCATTTGATAATAATCCTATATATTTGTCTGATCATATCATGTTAATGTTTTAATTAATTTTTACAACATCATGTATGTGTCATATCATCATGTCATTTCTGGTACCGTGGATTTTGCAGCCTATTAATTTCTTTTGATCTATTTCCCCCCCTAATTTGCTTGCAGTACATACTTGTGGGTTCATTGGGATTGCTGGTCATTACCTCAAAGGAGTGAAGGCAGTGGTAACAATGTCATTACAATGTCATTATAACAGTGAAAAGGGGGTGAAATAAGACTACTGAATCACTATGGGCAACGATATTGATAATATTATTTTGGTATAATAACACAAATTATATTTATTTGAGAAATTTGTTTAATAATTGAAGTTATCATTTCTTTTCACAAATTTAAGATTAATTATAATATGAAGTTGAAGCACGAACCAACTTACCAGTGGTTAAGAAAATTATTGTTCCTAAATATTACAAGTTCAAACAACAACGACTACAAAAGTGATTGAACATTCATTGTTAAGGATAATTTTTATAAACAAGTAATCATCAATCAAATCCTACGTTGAGAAGGTTTCATTTAATTATTAACATAATCTGATTTCAAGTTAGTTTAATAGTTGATATTGATGGATCAAAAAGTTTTAATGTTTTTTCGAGAGTTTAAATTGAAAGAAAGGGGGTAAAAGAATAGTTTGATGAACTTTTTAATTGGACAAATCACTGAACAACAGTAAAAACGACAGCAAAAGGACTGACCACCATCGCATCGATATATTTGAGAAAACAGAAGCCAAAAGAATCAGCCAACATTATAAAAAAAAAGTAATTATAATCCTAGCACAATCAAGAAAACTCAACACCTACAATGTATAAGAAACCAAATTTGCTTAAAACCATACAGTGGCTATAAGAACTGACCACCAGAAAGTAACAAACTTCTTTCAGAGTTTCAACCCTGCACTTCTCCATCAACAATATCTCTTTCTTCAGCAGAAGCTGCCATTAATTCATCAAAGTTCTCTGTCTTCCCCAACAATATCTCAATCTGAGAAAGAATATAAAAGCATATCAATCAACACCCGAAGCTAAAAACGACAAATCATGACATTACAATGACTGACTTTATGGTTTAGCAAGCACCAATGCCGCAAAGTTCAGTGCATGAAAAATCTAATACTGAATTTTTCTATATCACTTCAGAATTTAACTTAATTTGGAGTGAACAAATGTATCTCAGCTTGCAAATATGTTTTTGAATAAACCATGGTCTATCCAGATGGAGGCACAAAAGTAGCTATTAAATTGATTTACCTTTGCTTTTTGGACAGGCCTCCCTCTCATATCCTCCTTCATGTCAACTGTTGAGGTTGTGATCTCTGCAAAGGTGTAAGTTGATTCTCGTAATTATCGGGACTTGATGGCTATATTATTAACACATTTTTTTAAAATATATATATAAAAGAAAAAGTGGAAGATATCTTACTCTTCTCAACAGCCAAGCCATTGTTTTTCAAAATTTCAGCGATTGTAACAACAGTTGCAATAGCTGCACATTTGAAAAGATAAAAAAGACCAGTTACTGCAATTCTCGAAACTTAGCATAAAAAATTGATTTTATTCATTGATGAATATTTAGGTGTAGAAATAGATAACAGGAAAAAATCCATAAACACTATGCACTTAAAAATTGTTGATAAAGCTTCAGAGCATCTTCACTAATCACTGCACAACTTCCCCACATAAACAGGTGTAAAACACAAACAGCTTGTCGATAACTCCCTAGTCAAAGGGGAAAATTGACCAGAATATTTTAGATATATAGCACAATTGCCTTCAGGGGAACTATACTTATAAATTGCAGGTTAAAAAATGCTAAAATTACATCTTGAGATCCAATTTGGTGCAGCAGCAGCACAGAAATCTAAAGATCAAACAACTATAGCAAGTAAAAATCATTACTTAACCCCTCCCCCCTCTATTCCTCTAGAGACTAAGCTATCATTGCATCAAAACAAAAGTTGTGATGATAAGACAAAAAACAAACATAAATTCATATCTCAGAATAATTCTTTAATTATAAGATATGGAAAAAAGTAATGAAATATAGAGTCGAAGAAGTAAAAGTACCCATGCCAAGGGCAGATAGTTCCACTTCATTGTGCTGTTGCATATACCTCTGCAAATAAAAAAAAAGGTTATCGGATATTAATTTAATTTAATGCATGAACAAAGAATTAAATCCTATGTTACAGAAAAATGGTTGAAACTAATAACCAGATAAGGGGAAAAATTAAAACCCTCAAAAAAATACTAGTTCTGTTGAAACATAGCATCTATTTTAACAGAATAAATTAGCTGATTCTATTCTTATATGTAATAGGGTAAGGGGAGGTAGGGTAGTAGGCTGTCCAACATCAGGTTGAGAGAAGGTGAAAGACCTTTGTTATGAATTGGGACTCAATCTCATGACCACAAGATTGAGAGCCCTGTAACTGAGCTAGATGCACAATTCAAAAAAGAGCAAAATACAGAAATAATCAGAAAACTGAAGAGGAAAAACCTTTGCGAGATTGACGTAGAAAAACAAGGGTTTTTTGGTATTTGAGACTTGAATCCGGTTCTTCTTGTGGGAATCGGCGGTCAAATTGATATTGTTGACACCTTGGGTGATTTCTTCCATTTTGAGACTTCTGCGATTAAAACCCTAACTTTCAAAATCTGTCTTTGACTCCACGAATAGGATGAAATCTGCTGAGTAGTAGTCAAGTGAAACAAATCAATTGGGGGGGTTTCCCGAGCTCTGTTTTATATTTGGTTGAATCTTTTGGTGGTGGCTGGTAATCACTGGCTAGGGTTTATCACTTTCTCGGTACTGACTTTTAAGGGTAAACTATATTTGTGGCCACTAAATTTTTAATATATTTCTTTTTAGGTCATTAAAGTTTCGAAATTACACTATAATCGCTACAATTATCGATAAATCACATAATAAACACTTCACCATTAACTTCAATTAAATTAATAATATGATATATTAAAAAATAAAATTTAATTTATCCCCTAACTAAAACTTTAACTTAATTTAATCTTTGAACGTTTTTACCTATATTTAAAAAAATAAAAAAAATAAATAACTTTCTTATTTGATATAATATCATGTGTAGATCTTTAATCTTTACACTATTTTATTATTGATTTTAAAACATTTAACTCTCAATCTTATATGATTTTAAACAATTTATAAAAAAAAGAAAATTAAAAAAATTAAACTAAAGAAGGAAATTTCAGAAAATGAAAGTCTCAAGAAACAAGAATAGTGACAAGAGTGTTAAATTTTAGGTTATCATTTCAATGCAATGAAAGGATAGTGAACTTTAAATATAGGATTCAATTTTTTCATATAAATTTATTTATTTTTTAGAATCAAGACAAAATATCTAATGTAATTATAAAAGTTTTATTCGATGTTTTTAAAATCGGACCGGACTTTAAACCGATGAAGGTACTGGTTCAACCGTGGTTTAATCGGGTTGAACCGGTTTATATAAAATAATATTTTTTTAAAATTTTACAAATATTCAAAACAATATTAATATATACTTTTTTTTAAAATTTATAATATTAAAAGTTATAAAATATCACAAATAGGGATAGACATGGGTCGAGTTGGGTCGGATTTTTGAACCACCCGACTTCACCCGAGAAGAAAGGGTACTCCACCCGTAACCCGACCTGACCCGATTTAATTTTTTATTTATTAAAACCCACAAATTTTTTATTTTAAAATATAAAAAATACCTAAAATAATTGTTGGAACTCACACCCTAGTATCACGCTTGTCCCGCATTTTGCATAGTTTGGTTTCTTCACCGACCCTCGAAGCTCGAATCATGTTAGATCTTTTAGACGCAAGCACTAATGCATCACTGACCAACAAGGTTCTAATGAGACAAGTTGGTCCCACATTTTGATTAAAATAAAAAAAAGGAAAAGCGTGAAAAAATCATTAAAAGGAATTAAAAAATAGTTAAAATAATAATTAAAACAGAACTGGTGGTTTAAACCGGTTTTACTGGTTCCCAACCGGTTCACACCAGTTTTACCGATTTTCAACCGGTTCATTGCAGAACTGGTTTTGAAAGCTGACCAGACCGGACAGGCAAATGATTCCCGGTTCAATCGGTCGAACCGGCCGGTCCGATTTTGATAACCATGGTTTTATTAGAATTTTTAATTTTTTAATTGTAATTAAAAATACATTCAAGGATTAAATTGAAGTTTTAGTTATTGTTTAAAGGCTAAACTCGGTATTAGCATTTTCTGCTACGTGTCTATTCATTAAACAACAAAATAACCATTTTGTGATTTATTAATAATTTTAATGACCATAACATAACTTTTAAACCTTTAGTAAATATAATATAATCTCACTAAAACTTTAATGACTATAGGCGTAATTTACTCGACTATTAACTACAAAGAAAAGGTAGTATTATATCGAGCTGATCTGATCACAATTCAAAATTGGTTTAATAATATATGAGGCCCTCAAGTTTTTGTAAAATACTCAATATGACCCTGAAATTGAGAAAGAAAATAATTTGATTAATGGAATCGAACTATGACGGTCACACCCATGGAGGCACCCAGTTCTCTTTTAGATGTGAATACAAGAAACAGAAGCCTTCAACCATGTTGAAAATTTCGTGCTTAAATGGTGAAAAAGCTGAAGAACAAGTGAACAAGCTTTCTACATTTTAACAAGAAGTGTATTATATAAATGTTTGTAACCCCTCGCACTAATCCCCATTCCATACCTTATGGTGTATCCAAATCCTTCGACATTGACAGGCAGCTACTACGGCGGATTTATGCGTGCACGGCACGTTCCAAGAGATGCCGATAGGCACGAGGAAACAAAATTTACAGTCATCATGCTTGAAGAACCTGGCAGTGAACAATGTGGCTCTTCAGCCGGTTCCGGCCACCGAGGCTAGACCAAAGGTTTGTAAACAAGGTCTTGAACTGACCCTTCCCCGCTATAGTTTCCCATAAATGTTCAGCAGTAGCTCCCCTCAGATCGTCGGATTTCAAAACGTCGACCAGAGATACGCTCATATTATTCCTAATGATGCAGAGTTTCCCGTTGAGTGGAACGAGAGCTGCTGCTTCCAAAGCTCGAGAATTCCCCAAATGTATCCTACTGTCAATATGCTTACTCCAAGAATCAGTCACTTCGTCGTAAACCCTTAGCTTACAACCATCCTTGCACTCCAAAGCATAAAGATGCCCATTTAGAGAAGTACAAGGGTTCCGCCAGCCTGCAACCATTCCGTTATAGACGGGGTACCAGCTATCTGTTTCGGGTTGGTAGACTTCACTCATCAACTGTTGGTGAGATCCAAGCCCCTTCAAGAACCACTTCCCCTCGTATACAACCCCAATGAAGGGCACCATTGCCGTACTCATATCTGAAATACAAGACCATCTACTCTTGTTGGGATCATATACCTCAGCAGACCTTAATGATCGATGTACCCCTTCATTCTCTCCACCAGCAACATACAAGCAGTTGTTTATAACACATGAACCAAAGAAATGTCTTCGACGAAGCATATCTGGGGCACGGTGCCATTTGTTTGTCCTGGCACTGTAAAATATGACTCGTCGCATTGATCCCTTTAAGGGATCCTTACCACCAAACAGATAAAGGTGACAACCACTGAGGACAGCACATCCAAAACCAAGGGCTTCAGAATATTCCTTGGGGACAGGAGGGAGTGGCTGACAGAGCTGGTACACGGGATCAAAGGCATGCCAAGAAATTTTTCCATCTCGATCTCTCTTAATAATGTATATCCATTCTTCTGCAATTCCAAGGCTCTTACGGAGTGAATAAAAGAAGTTACCAGACAAAAGTCTATACCATCTTTTGCAGACCAGGCGGAGCTTTCTGTGCTCAACTCGTGGGACACGTATTAGGCAAGCAATAGCAAGATCATCGGGGAGTCCTGGGAGCAGAGGAGGTTGGTAACAGCTCCTATCACCACGTGTTGGCTTGCTCCTTGTTGGATGAATGGATGGTTTAATATCAGGTCGGAGACACAGCTTTGTACCGGGTACATATCTTTTCGCTCCAGAAACAGTTTTGAGCCCAGCATCTACTCTACATAAACAAGCCGTTGTATCAACCTGCCAAGAACATTCACAATTGATGAAGATTTTCTTCTCATTTTGTTTTACCCTTTATAATTTCTTATCACAGTAACATGAAGCTGGTAAGATGCTCTAGGCTGATCCCAACATCGAGAGTGAGCTAGCATCAAAATAGAAAACCAAAAACAATTCCACCAATACTCGAAGAACACAAGCCTTGAGTGGAAGAAGGATGTATTGAAAGCTCTTCCATTGAGAGCCACATGAATAGTATAAGACAGTCAAGTACACAAGCTTGAATTGAACCCCACAAAAAAAGAGCAGCAAAATTAGATAGAAAGCTCCTAAACACAAACGATATGCTGAAAGAAAACAGATTTCAACTTTAAGGATAGTAAGACACTTCCGAATCTAATTTCACTCGATCCTTAAGGTATCTATTGCAATTATTCGAATCTCGAGAACGCAATGAAAGATTCCACAAATATGTTTTGCATGTGTTTCCAATGTTATTATGCTAATCAATTCATCCACGCACAAGCTAGCATAGTCAGACAATATGCCTTCAATAAGATAACAAATGAGTCTACCGGAGAATAAATTATTGAAAGAGGCTTCAGATAAGATTGTCAAACCATCAAATAACAAAAGTTCGGTACAACCGATCCCAATAGTCTAGAGAGAGCTAACTTTCAAGCCTTGAGAAATATTAGGTCCATGTAGTTTAATAAGTGCAAAAAACACAGATACATAACGTATTGGACCACCTAGAAAGACAATAGAGTGGCAGATACAAGTATATTTTCATGGTTGATCGTGTCCATCGGTCGAAAGAGCTGTTGAACACCGAACAACGTAGCATCAAGTAGTTTGAAATGCAAGCATGAGCAATTATCACCAAAAACCATTAAAATGGCGTTTCTTCAAACAGATAATATGATTGAATTCAAAGCAGGAAAAAGATGGGTTAATTAGCATACCAATGGAGGCTGAATCATTCTATCCATGCTTTTCCTATCTGAATAACTGGCAAAAAGAACACCAAATTCCACCCACAACCCAACCTTCAGAATCAAGCACTATCTCTTAATCATCGTTCTTCGACCCAACAAACATAAACTACAAATCACAAATTTCAATTTCATCAATATTTAACATACAAAACTTTCCATTTTCAAAACAACAATCTCAGAGATCTACACAGAACAAGAAACCAGAGTCAGCTAAAAAAAGATCGGAATTTGCAGTATGAAGCGAGCTCAAAGCTGAAAAAATTTCGAAAACCATACAAATCCAACATTTTTAACAGATAATCCTCAAACCCCATGTCTGAAATGAAAAACCCAGATACAAAAATCCCATAAAACAACCAGCCGTGGTCTCGAAATGGAGAAAACAGAAACCCCACAATCTTATCTTTCAAGCTTTAAGAACCCAAAGAACAAAGAAATGGTGGAAGGAAAAAAAAACTTAAAATGCGAGACAGCACGAAAAATGGGGGCAAAGAGAGCACTGAAAGATGAGAAAGAGTCCCATTAAAATGTTTATCAGTGGAGTTCAGGGCCCAGCAACCCTCAACGGCACAACCTACCAAGCAAAAGAGTTGATTCAACACAGGAGAGAGACGGGTATAAAAGACCAAAAGAGAGAGAAAGCAACCCTAAAAAACATTAAAAGGTGGAGAGAAAGATGAGGCTTGAATGATGACACTTTGGTGGTGGTGGTGGTGGTTTTGTTTTTGTGGGAAGAAGAAATGTAGAAACTTTAATGGCAAAATAGCATAAATATGAAAATATAGCTGTCGCCTTTGCCTGTTGTTGAAGAATCAACAAGCCCCCCTTTCTAGTTTTGGGACAAAGATTCAAAAACAAAATAAATAAGAAACACTGTGTCTCACATCTTCCTCATCCAAATTGTTGTTTATAAACTACATCAAATTGACTACACATCTCCACAAAGGAGCATTTGGTCATTTTATTCATCTTGTCTGACAAACATTATGATCATCGATCAAAATGAGGGCCATTCCCCGTTGATGATCTTCTCAGTGTCATATAAGATCACTGTGATTGGCTTCTGATAGCCATAACTAGCTATCCACCATGCAACAAACCCTCCCTGCATGAATGGGAATTATCAACAACAAAAAATTTAAAGCAGGAATAAACACATGATTTTTTGTTACGAGTAAATTTATAAACTTCAATAGGAATGAAGTTTATAAAATTTTAAGAGTGATTAATAGAAAATATAAAGAATTTTAAAGATAAACGATTCCGTCAACCCCTCCGTTCATCCTAGATTACAAATCAAGAGTTTCATAGGGCAAGCAACTTCTTTTATAAAATGGTAAATAAAGGTGAAACAAAGAAAAGTATCATTCTCCTCACCAAAAGAGAGAGAGAGAGAGAACAATGCATTGGACAAAAGGGCGTTTAGATCCTTGATGAAAGGGAAAGGTCGTTGCCTTATGCATTACTCCTTCTAATGGTTGAATCTTCATTTCTCTACTTATATTAATTGCTTGGCATTGTGGACTTTAAGTTCTTGGTGTCTTAATTTTCCTATCCAAACAAAACATTAGTCTGGATTCAGTGATAAAAATATTATTTTTTTTATAATTTATAAGTGAAAATAAACAAATTGAAATTAGAAAATCATGTACAGAAAATATTACTCAACATAATTTAGCTTTATCTATCTCTACATACGAGAGAAGCAAAATTAATATGTAAATTAAATCTTAAAACTCGATATATATATTCTAAATTTGATCATATTATCAAAGTCCGCTCATGGGGATCAATATGAGCTCAAGTTCAAAGCTCTACCTTTCACCTTATAATTTTATTGTCTCAATATTCCATAAAATTCATATATTTTTATATTGTTCATTATTATTTGATGATATTCATCTAAAATTTTATTTGTATACACCTTATTCAAAAATTTATATTATCAATGTACTGTGTTCAGATTAAACAAATATTTATGATTTTTTTTGTGACCCTTGTTCCCATATGTAATTGGGTAAGGGGTGGTAAGATAGTAGACTGCCCCCAACACTAAGTTAATAACAACTTTCGTAGGATACCTCCAAATTATGAAATGATTATCCCATATATATATATATATATATTGATAATGGCCATGTACCTGAACAGTTTGACCCAAGTATTCGTAAGGCTTAGATGACAGTGTCATGATGGGACAAATATGTTCCATGACGCATAAAAAATCAAAATAGAAAAAGGAAAAGGAAAAGCAAAGTTGAAAGAATATGTTACACCACTTGGTTCAAAGTAAAACCAAGCTGTTGTTGTTTTATGTATGTATGGAAATGAATGTATTTGGATTTGATTGATGTTATGGCTTGCAACTCAGTTTCTTCATTTCAACTCAACTTTACTTCTAAACCATTTATATCTATATATATATATATATATATATATATATATATATATATATTCTCTCTTCATCTTATCTTATCGTTTTCCTCCTAAAGTCTTCCACCTTTACCACCATGCTTTTATTCATACACATGACGATTTTAATTCAATTTAATTTTATATAAATTATATTTAAAAAAAATATCTAACTCAATCTAAGAATAGTAATATAATTAATCTTGGTATAAACTCGGATCGAATTAAGTGACGTGTGAAAAGATACTATACTCAAATTAAGTTTGAATATATTTAAAATTTAATTCAATCAGACTCATTATTAATGCGAAGTCTGGAATATGTTTCGATATTAAAACCGAAGAACAAGAAGAAAAAGAAAAGAAAATGCGGATGCATAAAAATTGAACCATGAAAGATACGATTCGTCTGGTACATATTATATATAAGATTTATAAAGGAATTGGCGATGTAACTGTTAAAAGAAAATATTAGAAGCACTAAGGTAAGAATTATAATGTTGTTGGAATGCTTTATTTGGCTTTATGGATCAGCTCAGACATGAGACGTTGAAAGACATATCTTTCCCTGTTTCGGGGACAAAACATGGTTTGAACGTCTTGTCTAAGTTGCAAATAAAGCATTTGTTTGGATAATTTTATTATGGTCGGTATAATTTAATGTGCTTTTTAATTTAAAATGTTATATAAATTTATAATAATTCAAGTGTAATCGAAAAATTATATTATAAGTGTTTAAGACTCACAACCAAAAATATTACGAAGATTTTGATCCGGAATATTTTGAGCATGAATCTGTATTAGAAAAGAGTAGGCGCCTCACCCTTGAAGCTACCCGTGCAATGGATTCATATTTGTCAAAGATTCAGTTTTCTCATCGCTCATCTATTAAGTTCGATATTTGGCATCCGCCTCCTCATAATTGATGTAAGGTTAATACGGATGGATCTCGTAACGTAGAAAATGACTAGCGTCATGTGGGGGCGCCATTCGATCCTCGAATGATGGTTGGATATTTGGATTCTCTAAAGTGATCGGAATTTATTCCATAGTTAAAGCATAGTTATGGGGTATCCATGAAGGTCTTTCCCATGCTTGGAATCTAGAAGAAAGGCAAATCATAGTGGAAGCATATAGTTTGGAGGTTGTCCGAATGCTAAAGGAAAACTCTAAGAGAGACGCGATCTTTACCCTTTCTGACCGCGTTATTGAGTTGTTGAACCGAGATTGAAATATTATTTTAAGACATATAAGTCGGACTGCAAATAAGGTGGCAGATCAACTAGCTAAGATTGCCGCAAGAAGATGAGAGGTTCATAAGGTATTCTCCATTCCACCACGGGAAGTGACGGAATTAGTCCAACAGGAAGCTGCCGACTGCACTTTGACAGCAAAAGCTTAATCCAATGTAACTTTTTTCTTTTGTTCACCAAAAAAAAATATTACGAATATTATAACATTTTACGATTTCAAACTCAAAAAAGTTACTTTGTCCATATTAAAAAATATAAATTCTTAATAATATTTTCTTATATATGTACAAAATTCAAAATCATTTTCATTTCGTGATCTATAAGATTACATTTTTTTTTGAAGAAATTAAAATTATTTTTATCACATAATTTATGTGACTTTCGAGATCCTCTTTATCTATGCTATACTCATCTCGTGATTTATTCCATGTAATATTTATTATAAATATTAATTAAATAAATATAAATTATTTTTATGTGAAAAATATAAAATACTTATACTCTAAACTCCAACCACATATGTCTCTCAGTTGTTACAATCTTAAAAATAATAATATTAAATCTAAATTAAGAAATAAGCCTCTTGAAAATTGAAATTAGAAATGTAGATGGTCTATAATTAATCAGGTAAATAGGGTCATTACTATTTACCTGATTAATTATTAAAATATCTAAAATAATAATAAGGCTTTACAATTATCATCGTAAACTAAATATATAATTTGAACATTTTCCTAAAACATCGACATAAGAAACTAACCACTTTAGACCATACAAATATCATACATAAAAAAAGTTAAAAACCCCACCAAAAAATTCGAACGAAAAATAAATATAAATAAATACATAATTTGGATATTTTTCTATAACATATGTTTTTTTATACATATTTTTCACATTATTATGTATAATATATAATTATCTATGTATGTTCTCAGCTAACCCTATCACCAACTACATGAACTTGTGGATTATTTCCAATTTGTTTTAATGTCTTTATCTGCTTATCGTTTACTTCTTAAAAAGAACAATATTTAAAGACATCATGCAGAAAGTGGAGTTGATCAACTGTCTATTCATCACTGTTTGTTTTCTTCTTCCGTGTCTATATATACACACAGTCAATGGCTTCAATTAAAACCAATGCTATCCAAAGCTACAGATAAATAAATTATAAATATTGATAAAATTAGGTATAATGATAAAGTATATTATACTCATAATTAAAGAATTTAAGTTTAAATAAAAACATAAATATTCGAATAATTTTTTTAAAATAATTTGGAATGATCACAAAATAAGATTTGTTCATAATCTTTGTTAACCAATGACAATGTACACACATCTGCAGATGCAACTATTCGAACTTAAGACTTCAAGAGAGAGCACTCGATGGGTCCAAATATTCGAATAAATTGAATGCAAACATCCCTAAAGTATAAATATTAAACTTGTTAAAGGATGTGTGGTCGACTGTTTAACAAACTGTATTTATCATAATCATAGCCGAACCAATTCCATTAAGATATTAAAGCTGACAGGAAAACCATATTTATTACAAAATTCAGTGAAACACATGCTATGATGTAGCTTGTGCTCCCCTACACCATCCTTTTTATTTTTCTTTCTTCAACAGGAAAAAAAAATTCAAAAATATAATTATTCACAAATGCCTCAAGCATGTCATATTTTAGAAACATGTTCATTTACATATGAGCAAGGCTTACGTTTGTTGGACATGTTTTTCTTGGGCGGTTTGCCAAGACCACAGAAGCCACAGCCGGAAAACTTTGGAGAAGGAGGATCGATGGTGGGCGATGCCGCCTTCACTGTCCGTTGCATATATGCATTGCCTCCGTCGGACCCGCTGCGTCTCATCATAATATCTGTTCCTTGATTTCTTTGAGTGTTGCGCTTCAATAGGGTCAGGTCTCCCGATAAAAACTTGTCGTTCCATGTCAACCCGGACGAACCCTGCCTTCTGAACGACGTAGTCGACCTCTGCAATTTTATCTCCATGATCTCGTTCCCTTGTATAAATGTGGTGGTTTTCAGATACTAATAATTTTGGGGATCGTGTTGTTGTGTGTAATGAGAAAAAAAAAAGCAAGACAAACGATGGGTTGTTATCCTCATTCCCTGCACTTTGCTGCGGTTGCGGACATATAATCGGATTTCAAGTTATATTTTTATGATAAATTTAGAAAATGAAATTAAAATAATAAAGCAAAAAACAATTTAGATAAAATAAAAAATAATACAAACCCAATTAAATTATTTTCCTCTTTTTTCACTTTTTTTTTTTTTTGCATTCAATTTATTCAAATTCCATTTGTATTATTCTTATGATACCATTTGAGGCAAACATATTTATTTTACTCATTTAACACATTTAGATGTAAATATAAAATTAGAATCCTTAAATATGAAACAAAAATTTAAAACCAAAAATTTCATTATTTGGAATTTAAATTTATATCCAATATTCATATTTATATTATGTCACGATAACATAGGTGTCCGTATAAGATTATGTTTTAAAGATAAATGCATCTCGTTGGGTTTTATTACAAATTGATCACATTAATGATAATAAAACTTTTTGAACACCAATGGTAAAAAAATCATAATTAAAATCCACTAATTAATCGAATGATCAAAAATACTTATGTTGTTATATCTTATGTGGCTTCAAATCTTAATATTTATCTTGAAAATGTAATACCTATCTACTTATTCAAAAATCACTTAATTTGAAACCGCCACAATATTGAGTCAGGCAGGCAAAACCATGTTTAAAATAACCAACCGACCCACCCCAACAACTGGGTCACCATAGAGCTCTTTGTGTTATGATTTCATCGGTACAAGCCTTTGGAAATGTACCATTTTACATTTGTTATGTCTCGCTACAAATATTATTTTGATACCCCAATTTAGTGTTCTTTCAAGAAACAATTTATTGCACAAAACTTATGTTAAAACCACGGGAGGCTCTCATCTCTTCAAATCCTTGAATGAATGAATGAATGCTTCTATCATTCAAAATTTGTAAACCATTTGTTCGGTGTATCCAAGTTCTTTGAGTATGCCTCTTAGCTGCATATCAAGGAGGGTACGTTTAGATACCAAAATTAGGATAACAATTAGGAATGGAGTGGGAAAAAAACAGGTTTATTACCTCTCCTTGTGAATAGTCTTTAGCCTTACCACCAGAAATGTGTTCCATCATACCGGGTGGACCGCATACCTGCACAAACACGGGAAACCATGGAGAAGTGAGTGGATCTATTGAATGTTGATCAGGTGGATTGTTTATGTGGGTGCATGAAACTTGCAAAATGAAATCCTGGGATTATGGCCATTTTCCAAAGTCTTGACCTGGTCTTCAACAACAAAAGTATCAGAATGTCCTGTACATGACCACCTCAACAAAGGTTCATTTGGACTAGCATTGAAAAGAGTTGGAATAACACATCAAAAGGTCAAGCACATGCCTGATGCATGATTAATGGAAAAAATAACCCCATTTACAGGCTGCTCCTTAAGCCACTTACATAGTACCCTCGGTTAGGTCTTAGTCTCACAATACCTCTTGTTTTAAGGAAGCAAACGACAAAATAAAAGCTTGAGTGCGAGTTTGGGGGTGTTTTATATTTTTGTCTTTACAAATGGAGTAAAAAAAGCTAGGCTTCTCCTTGCTGAACATGGATATCAATACTTTGCCAAGATTGAGCAAGAAACAGCAAATGGGAACAAAAATGTATTTCCAATTTCTTGAGGATGAAGCAGTGTTAAAGAAAAAAGTTGTCTCCACTTCATATAAAACTTACTCCATTCCTTTGGCAAACAGAATAAAAGAAAAAAGGTCGAGAAACTTACAAGGATAAGAGTATCTTCAGCAGGAGAAGGTAAGCCTTTTGTGACCATATCCTTTGAAATGTATCCGGCACCTCCTTTCCAAGTTTTTGTTGGATTGTCTACAGTGTAGAATACCTGAAGAGAATGAAAAATGGAAAGAAGAGAGAAGTAAAAGGAAGTTACTATTTGAACAAAACATTTACCCATAGAGCAACTATTTCATCACGAAAGAGTTCATACCTTAAGATTTGGGTGCATAGCAGCAAGTATATCAAGCTTCTGCTTGAGAAGTATATCATCAGGGGAGACATTGGCATAAAGAAGTGACATCTGATGGAATAAAAGTACACATATATGATCCAAAACAAGCACTAAACAAATAGCATTCGAAAAAAACCAAATGTTATGGTTGCAAATTTACCAATCAGATAAGCGTACCTGAGTTTTGTCATCAGGGTTCTTCAGTATATCCTCAATTACCTGAAGCATTGGAGTTATGCCTGTACCACCTGCAATCTGGAACAACAGAACATAACTGAGTGCAAATGAAGATCATACTTCTTTAATAATCTTGGAAAATATTATACAGTTATAACTATTCAGATTACTTAGCAGATGAATTGACTAAACATGCAGAAATCACATGTGCACAAGTGATAATTGTAGAGAACATGAAAATTTGGCATTGGATGAATTTTAGACATTAATTGTAAAGAAAACAAAACATACCAATATAGTTGACATCAGGTTAAAAAGGAAAGTAATATATAAAATGTGCTTCGAAAAATTGAATATTTCAGCATAAAGTGTATTAATTCAATAGGGGGTTTTGCTTTATTTTGGGGGGGGGGGGGGCGAATTAACAGGAAACTAGATCTAACCATGCCAATGTGTTTCTTCATATTGGGAGAGTATCTGAGCTTTTCAATGGGCCTGCAAGTGATAAAATATTCAGTTTAAGATGGTTTTCAGCAAGATCTATATGAAAACTAGCATATATTGAGACCTACCCTTTCACTTCAACTACATCACCTGGTTTTAAGCTAGCAAAATGCTGACTCATTTTTCCTTCTGGGTAAACCTGCAAATTTTATTTTAAGTTGTGAAACACAATTCAATGTGTGGCATTGCATACATGAGGCGTGTACATCTCCAAAGTGGAAAAAGATGTGAAAGTATTTATCACTTCATACCTTGATTAACAAGTCAAAGTAACCCTTAGCATCTGGGTCTGATATAGGAGTATACCTGATAATTCAAGTTATTGCAAACCATATTTATGAACGTCGAAACATAATTTTGTATGCAAATATAGTCAACTTAATCTTTTGACTTCTGCATCAATGAATTTGGTGAAGAAATAAGTATTCCAGGTTTAGTTTTGTTTAGAATGCCATAAGAAATTTTAATGTTTTAAAGTTAAACCATGCTAGGCTTGCACGACGCCCAAGCTTCTCCATCTACTTGATTTAAAAGTTTTCAGGTATTTCCTTTGTTGATTAAAAGATTACTTAAATAAAAGTCCAGATGAGTTGTAACATCCATTTTATGAATACTTGAAAATAAGCAATCATAAAGGTAATTTCAGTTTAAAAAAAAGATGCAATAATCCTAGGATGTGGGGTATTTTCCTCTTTCTTATTTTGAAAATTTATGTAGACTGTTATAGATGTTACTGACTAGAAACTTTCATCTATTTCAATCTTATTCAAGACCTTATTTAGAACTTTTCCCTCATGGGCAAATATATATGCCACTATAACAACAGGAAATTGAAATAATTAAGAAAATGAAATTGCACCATGGGATACAAGTAAAATAACCTAAAAAGTTAAATTACTAACAAATCACCGATTTAGAATAATGGCCTTGAAAAGGGAAGTCCAAGTCAAACCACTAATGAGTTCAATAAGAAGGCTTACGGTCTTATGACATATTTGGCTTTTCCTTCAGCATCTTGTCCTAATGGAGCCCTGCAGCAACAATAGTGTATCACAATAGTGAATGTATGAGGTAGACTACTTCTAAATCTCAATTAGTAAGTCCGCTTAAAAGAAAATATCAAAATCTCTCACAAAAATAAGGTTTCTAATAAGCATCTCTGCTAATATTAGAACATACCTTGTAAGAATGCATGAAGCAACATCCAAACCCAACTTTTCATTGGGATCAAATGAAAACCTGCCAATTTTTTAAGGAAGTTAATATAACAAAGGTACTTGTTCCAGGACTGCTAGATGAGGAATTTAACAATGCAAAAGTGTAAGTTGTGATGCTGAATTTAAATTTGGATGAACAAATTATCTTTTCAAGTTAGTGTTATATATATATATTTGCTCTCAATAAGCAAGGACAAATTCTTTTTTCCCACTTTATAGTCTAGAATCCAAGAAAAAGTAGTTTTCTTGGTCTAGCACAAATTCAAGGAGACAGATCCCAATGATATTTAATTTTAAACAAAGTATAAAGCGCAAATTTGTTCATAAAAAGGTTCACACAAATGGCCATGTCACTATTATAGCATAAATCAATCCACATATGAAACTGATTGATTAAAAGATATCTACCTGAACAAGTGAGTGTTATGACTAACTCTTGCGGTATCTTGCAACTTAAATTCAAGCCACTTATCAGGCTTCAAAGCTGCAAATCCCCCAAAAAAGATATTCCGAGTTAAGTACAAGATAAAAAGGTTTAAAAGAAACTAAAACAAATACTTCATCGTATCTGCAATCACTTTCAAATTAATATTGAGTAATATCCTCCCTGAGGAGGGCCACGGGCACGAGGTTCATGAGGTAAACAGTTCAACTAAATTGTGGAATTCGGTCATCTAATAATGGTATAATCTAATAAAATTATGCTCACCAACTTTTGGACCAGTCTCTTCATTGATTTGATCCATATGAACCTGTATTCAGAAAGAACAACAAAATAATTACTCAATTTGGAATGTACAGAGTGCATCAAAAAGTGGTAACACAAAAATGCTAAAAATTCAAAAAACATCCTAAATGTAGTCCACATACAAATAGGTCAGCTTTTGAACATCAAATTTCATCAAGAAGACCAAATCACCTCGGTAACGCTTGAACCACCAAGATGTAACCTTTGCCGATTGTAAATTCAAAGCTCATAATAAGTATAAAAATTCAACATTCATTTCTACATCTAAACCTCCATATAACACAACTCAAACAAAATCCTACCTAAACATTTCACCATTTAAATAGCAAATCGAAATGCAAGCACAAGTAACCCATTTCTATAATCAGAATCCCTTCGATTGCCAATCATCCCGCAATGCAACAAAGATCAAAGGGAAGCAAAACCCAGATTGGAATTTCCTGAAAAAACTCACCAAATTTGATTCCGAAAAATAGTAAGTGCCCATCCCACCGGCAACGGCGGCGATGGCTGCGAAGCGAAATCCAGCAAAACCCGACTTGGGTTGACCTACGAATGCATTGTTTAAAGTAGCAGGGGCAGCTGTGGAGAGTCTCCTAAAGAAGGTAGCGGCCATTTTCAATCTTTTCAGCGCTGCCATCAAAGAACAAAATGCCGAATCTTTTACAGAGGGAGGGTTTTAGACTTTTATAAAGTGCATAGATAGCTTCGAAAATTTTCTAGTTTGAAGGAAGGAGGAATGATCTGGTGCTTGGGGTAGTTCGTTTGTAAAGTGTTCACTAACCATTCGGTGCCACGTTTTCCCCCTCATATTGGGCTTTCAAATTGCTTCTACAAAAGCCCAGGCTCAAGGGTCAAGATTGGGCTTTTTTTAGGCTTAAATGAAAATTCAGCCCTCAAACTATGTATTTTTTCTGTAAATACTTAAATTATTTTTTTATTAAAATAAATTCTTAAATTATTATTTCATAATTATTTCGAGTTCATAGGATGGTCCCGTTAATAGAAATTTTTAACCAATAATAAATTGACACATCATGTAAAACAATTTAATTCAATTTTGATTTAAAATTTTAAAAATATTTGTATATAATTTAACTTAAATTAAAGTAAAAAAAGCAATAAAATTCATTTTGGTTCCCAAATATATACGTTTACATTTAAAAGCAATTTTTTAAGCTCAAGTTTTTCTGAGTTCGAGTTTAATTTTAAATTTTTATTTTAAATTTGAGTCGAGCATGTTAATTTTAAGCTGACGAGTTTTCAAGTCGAATCGAGTTAAATTTTAACTTTTTGAATTGAATCAAATTTAACATTATTCGAGTTCGACTTTTACATCCCTACCTATTAGGACTGTAAATGAGACGAGACGAATCGCAAGCTACTCGAGATCAACTCGGTCAAAGCTCGGTCAATACTTGAACCGAATGGAGTCGATTCAAACTTAAATTCGACTTGAATTCTTAATGAACTGAAGTGAGCTACTTGATACTCGACTCGAAAAGCTCACGAACTACTCTAAAAAAATAATATACTAAAATTTTAGATTTTTGAAATTAAATTAATAATATTACCATTTATTAGAAATCCCAGAAAACAATATATATTTTTTATTAAGAATCATATATGAACAACGTGTTTTACACTAGGTACAATATGCTGTATTTAAAGCAACAGCAGTTCATGCAGTTAGGGTTAATGACCCTGCTTAACAACCCACAACAACCTAACCATTATTGATACGTGTAACATACAGCTAATACTAGCTCTAACATTCTCCCTGCTCCTTCTTCCTCCTGCTCTTAGCTTCCTTGACATTCTTGAACGTAAACCTTATCACGAAACAACTCAAATGCTCCTATCGTCAGCGGTTTGGTCAAACCATCAGCAACTTGATAGCTTGCAGGAACATAGTTCACACACAACTCTCCTGCAGCAACCTTCTCACTCACAAAATGAATATCCAGTTCCACATGCTTTGAATGCGCATGATAAACTGGATTTGCACTCATCAATACTGCACCCGAATTGTTACACCACACAATTGGTTTCTTATGCCGTGGAATACCCAAGTCCTTCAGCAGTACAATAACCCAAGTAACTTTAGTCGTGGCATCAGCAATACTTTTGTATTCTGCTTTCATGGTTGATCGAGAAACAGATTTCTGCTTCTTTGATGCCCATGAAACAAGACAGCTACCAACAAACACTCCATACCCAGAAATTGAACGACGATCATCGAGACTACCCCCAGTTTGCATCAGCAAAGACAGTTACAACAAGGCTAGATTCAGCAGGAGAAAACACCAAGCCATATTCCACTGTACCAGCTAGGTCTCTTAAAATACGCTTGACTGCAGCCATATGTGCTTCCCGTGGTGCATGCATATACTGGTCTACCTTCCCTACACTAAACGCGATATCAGGTCGCGTATGACACAGATACAGTAGTGAACCAACAATGTTACGATAGCCACTCGCATCCTGTAACAACTCACCCTCATTCTAAAGCAGCTTAGCAGACGCGACCATGGGTGTAGGAGTTGGCACAGCCTTAGTCATATCAGTCTTGTCTAACAGCTCCAAAACAAATTTACTCTGACTAAGAACAAGTGTACCATCATACTTCCTAACCTCAACACCTAAAAGGAAAATCAAATCACCTAAATCCTTGAGAGAAAATTTAGCATGCAATAGAGTCACCATATTCTCAATGTCCTCACCAGACTCTCTCGTGATCAAGATGTCATCCACATACACCAACACATATGTGGACCCAACCTCCTCGTGATTAACACAAGGACATGTCTGCATGCAATGCAACAAACCTTAGTTGTGCCAAACCCTCCTTAAGCTTGTTATGCCAGTTCCAAGGTGCTTGTCAAAGCCCATACAAAGTTTTTTGTAACTTACCAACAAAGAGCCATCATCAGCATACTGTTCAAAGCCCGACGGTTGTTGCATAAAAACGTCCTCACTCAAATCACCATTGAGGAATGTGTTATTGACATCCACATGCCTTAACGCCCATCCCTTTGTAACTGCAACAGCCAACACAGTGTTCAAAGTGGCAAATTTGACAACAGGGCTAAAAGTATCCTTAAAATCTTGCCCAGGGACTTGAGAGTAACCTTTTGCCACTAATCGAGTCTTATGTCTGGAAATTGATCCATCCGGATTCTTTTTTAACTTGAATAGCCACTTGCAGCCAACTACCGTTCTACTTCGTTTCCAGAGACCCAGACTCCATTTCCACACAGAGCTGGTAACCTGTACAAAATCGTTTACTATATTGGTTGAAAAGAAGATGAAATATGGGTTTTCAAAGGTACATAAGTTGGATGAGGAGATTTTACGATGACATGACTCCATATGTTTCTAAATCTCCGAGAGAAGTGTATGCGTTTGGGGTTTGAAATATTTTAAGAACAATTTCAAAAGACTGGTGCAGGTGAAGACATTGGTGGATCCTCAGAACTTCTTCAAGCATGAACAAAGCATACCGTCTCTTTCATCTTTGTAGATGGGGAAGTACCAGAGTTTCCTATGCTATATAAAAGTTTTGTTTAGTTACCGTTTTGCAATACATTAGGTTACGTCGTATATCTATTTACGAGGGGCAAAATTGCCCCAATATTGTGATAAAAGTAATAATTGGTTGACTTAGGTAATGACATTCCCGATAATATACTCTAAAAATTGATTAAGAATTATTGGTAACCCAACAATACCTAAGGTAATGGAGGTAATGACATTCCCGGTAATATACTCCAAAAAATCCACTATTGGTAATCTTACATTACCGGGAATGAGATTCCCGGACTAATCAAACAGAGGAATGTGGATTTCATTGCCATAGAAATCTCACATTCTTCCATCCAAACGCCCCCTAATGTAAAAGACAATATAGTAATTACTGCGTCTTTCAGAAGACTTATTGTATTTCCGATATTTTTTTTGACACTATAGTTATAATCCCATTTGATAAAATAATTTCCCTACCCTAAATCAACCAACTATTATTTTCACCAATATTATTTGGGCAATTTTTTCCATTTACGAGGATAAAACAGTTGCATGATAGTCGGCTTGTGTAATGTAATGACATACTAATTTATGAGTAGGAACGATAATAGGTGAAATTGGGTTGAATTCTTGATTAATTTGATGTAATCTGAGAAATATATATCTTTTATTTAAATTCAATTCGAGAATCATATACTTTTTATTTGATTTGGTTCGATCCGAGGAACATATTCTTTTCACTTGAATCTTACATAATTCAAAATTTTAAGATAAAACCTCACATTTGACTCGATTCGATATAAATATATATAAAAAATTATTTAATAAAATAAAAACTTAATTAAAAATTTTCAAAGAGAGTGTTTATCATAACAATTATCCTGAATTTATAGAATAAAATTAAATTATTATCAGATCGAAAATTTATCACTTTAAATCTAATTGGTCTCATCTTCTACAAAAACTGACATGTCTTTAAATTCGATAAAAAGAAATTAACTTTATCAAATTAAATAAATAGACTACATAGGAACCCTACACACTTAACCAACTATCAAGCCTCTCCTCACCTTGGAAAATGTTCACGTGCGGCAGTCTTAATATACGGTTAAAAAAACGTTACTCATTTTGTTATTATTTAAATAACAAAATCAGTAAAAAATTACCGAAAACATTATTATTTCTACCGGTTTTGTTATTGTTGGCACTTCAATGGAAATATTAAAAACATTGATGTTTTAGGTAGAAATAATAATATTTTAGATAATTTTTTACCCATTTTATTATTTAAATAATAATAAAACCGGTAACATTTTTTTAAATGATATATTAAAGGTGTCGTACTGTAGAACTTCCACTCACCTCTCGTTATCCTCTACTCCACTAAGTCATTTTACACCTCTTGCTTAGTTATGTGCAAAAAATAATATATATATATATATATACTCACTCTGTCCCATAAAATTTACCTTTTATTGAATTTTAAAAAAATTAATTTTTAAAATTTTGATCATGATTATTTTAAATAATTATATTTTATAAAATATACATTTGAAAACTATTTGATTGAAGGTTTTTAAAATATACTTTTACATATTTTTATCAACAATAAATTTTAAATAATAATTAGTCAAAGTTTAAAAAAATTGATCCAAAAAAGTCAATAATGGACATTTTTTATGAGACAAAAAAATATATTATTATATGACTAAAGAAAGTCGATATATTAAAATTAATTCTAATAATAAAATGATAAATAATTATAATTTAATTTGAACAAAAGTTCAATTCAAATTTCATAAATTTAACTCGATTAAAAAAATTAAATAATAAAACAAATTCTATTCAATTGGATCGAATATCATTCCTGAAAAAATTACAAAATTAAGGTAGGAATATGTTTATATTTCTAATGCGGATGGGAGACTATATTAATATTATATTCCACCTAAGAATGGCAACGGGACGGATTTTGCTCGCCCCGTCTCCGAATCCGAAATGAATCCCCATCCCCAACCCCAACCCGATCCCCATCGGGTTTTTTATCGGGACGCCCCGTCGGAATTTTTTTTTGCCCCGATCCCATCCCTGACCCGAAATATTATACTCGAACCCGAACCCGAAAATATTATATATATAATTAATATAAAAATATAAAATATTATATATATATATATATAATCAAGACGGGACGGGTATACCTTGTCCCGTCCCCGAACCCGAAAAAATCCCCGATACCCAACCCGATATCATTCAAACCCGACCCGAACTTAACCGGGTTTCGGGTTTCCCCGTCGGGTTCGGGTCATTCTGCCATCCCTAATTCCACCATACCATTTCACAATTATCATTTATTTATTTATTTTTAATACGTGATTTTCACAATGATATTGATCGCATTCCAAATAATAATATTCCAAACTACGAAGAAGTTGAACAAAGTAGCTCTTGTTCTCCTGTTCCATCACAGAATTCAAGCAAGGTCCATGCCATGACCAATAATTAAGCAATACACCAAGAGAAAATTAACATTCCAGGTATGCAGATTATTCACTATACCATAACCACCTCCCAATAATGCAAAAACATTTTTTCAAATTACATCCTTATGCCGATCAACCGGCGAGCCCCAGTTTCGATGTGAACCAAGCGCAGACCTCGTCCATCTCTTCCGGGATCGTATAGTGACCAAGCCTGTATTGGTCATCAAAGTAATCCATTCAAGTCGATAAATTCTCGAAAATATACAAAAACAGGAAGGCTTTTTTTGTTAGAATATGAAAATCTGTACCCATTGTAGGATTTGAAGGTCGAGTTCTGAAATCCATTTGAACTTAGTGCCTGATAAGATTTCTCACCAAATTTAAATGGAACCACTTCATCTCCTGCAACTCAAACATGTTTATATATAATAACCTTCGACGATTCCAATCATGAAATCACAAGTAAAAACAAGGGACAACTGGATTCGTAACGTGATCATAGCCACCAAGCTAATTACCAAGTGTCTTAAATATGACCGAAAGCCAGTTAAGGCCCTAGTATGAACTGAAGGTACACAACATTAAGCTAACAGCAGTAATTATGCAACATTGAAATACGGTGCTAGTATTGTTACTCGTACATTGATCCCTATGAAGCACTAATTGTAGTTTACATCACTACTTTTCGGGTTTGCTTTCGAAACTATAAATACCTGACACCATATCGGACATAATCCCATGATAGCATAACGAAGGTGATATAAATACCTTTTCCATGGCATAGCAAAATGGGCAACAATGCAGCACGTCTTGTAGCTTCCTCCTGTCCTTCTATTTTGCTTTTCAAAGACCTAAAAAGGAAAATAAGTTAAAAAAAAATAAACTAGACGAATTGCGAGGAAGCATTTAGGTCATATGAGAAGGTGCAATGTAGGAAACCAACTTTGAACATGGAAGCCATCCGCTAAGTCCTACAACTGCGCTCAAGTTGGCAGGATAAGGGTTGCCATTTCCATATTTTCCATGAATAAAACAGGTTGCGGAGTATAAAGAGGTTGCTGCACCCATACTGAAACCTCCAATACCAAGTTTAACTGTAATTGGAAAACGCTACAATTATAACGTCGTCGAAAAAAATTACAATAGCTAAAATTTTCATTGCTAAAACCGAAAACTAAGATCAATGCAACATTGCATTGTCTGTAAGCCAAACTAATCAAGCAGCAACTTACTCGGATTTAAACAAACCCTAACAATGCGGTCATTGTTTACCGGCATTTATTAAAATGCCAATAAATAAAAGGAATTGTTCCAAAAAAAAAAAAGGCCATGGTTGTCAAGACAGAGAGAATCTTAAATACGAGGGAAAAACTGTAAGAGCTCTTCGGCGACGTTGCAAACTTTAGAGACAGATGCATTGCAGCCAATCATTAAAAAACTACCTGGAATAACATATCGGAGAGTATGTACACAGGAACAATCAGCCAGAAATAATAGATATCTTTATCCTACCAGCTAACAAACAAGAACCAGAAAATGAAACTAAACTCGCAAAATCTTCCACTAGAAAATAACTCCCGGCTTCACCCCTGAAACACAAAAAATATAATTTCCAAAACCAGTAGTCCAGTACTTTTCCTTGTTGAATGAAAAGAATATTGTTCACACCTGGTAGCCAAAATCATGGGAGCTAATGATTTAGCTGGATTAATACCTAAATAATCAGAAAAGAAATCGGAAACACTCCCCCTCCCCAAAATAAAAGAAAAAATGAGAGGAAAAAAGGTAGCAACAAAAAACCTAATAAAAGAGGTGCGAGGAAACATACTGTCAGCAGGCTCTGTTGACAACAAATTTGCAACATGTGCTGCAGCAGCATCCAAACCCTCTACATCATCAGGAGCATCTTCTGAAAGGTCTCCCACATCGAACCCTGATGTATGTCATATTTCGAAGGACCACCATCAAAGACAAAGGTCAAAGAGATTGAAATTTATTTCATCTTGTTCCCTCCATAAGAGATTGCATCAGTATAGAATTTTAAGAATACACTTACAAGCAGTTGATGGAAAGCCGCCAAATAAAGTTATTGGTCGAGTAGGGGCAGTTGGGCATATCCATTTAATCTGCACCAAAGAATCACAAACATTAAAAATTATGATGTTATCAAGAAGAAACGAATCCATGAATTAATTGTTAGAACATGTTCTCCTAAAATATCTTTGGCTACAATAATCATCCTTACATTCGGAAGAGGGAGGGTCTCCAAGAGCTGGGACCAGCTGACAAACAAAACAAAAAGATAAATGGGGATGAGTAATTATTTGAAAATATATCAAGTACTTTTTTTTTTCATATCCTTGAGATTACAGATTATAAAGATAGGGAGACACAATAACTCATGCAGCACCAACATAGTTTATAGGATGAAGAAATATATTAACATCAGAAGATATGAAACATTGAAACAAGAAGATGCAGTAACTTGCAAATTGAAGACAAAAACAACAAGAAAATCAACAGGTATTAATTTATTATCAGCTTAAATCGTAGTTTTGCATAAGACTTATCAGCAAAAAGCAGCAAATGAAGACAATAAAACAGATATGGATGAAAGAGGTTCTTTTGCAAGCAATTAATTTATTATCAGCTTAAATCGTAGTTTTGCATAAGCCTTATCAGCAAAAAGCAGCAAATGATGACAATAAAACAGATATGGATGAAAGAGGTTCTTTTGCAAGCAATGATTAATTCCCTGCTACTTACTAAAGCATCATAGAAACAGTGCTACACTACAAGAACACAATTTGCATGGAGAAAATGAGCTTTCTGCTTTATTCATATACCAACAAATCCCCCCAGTAGTAAGTACAAAACAATAACATCCGTCTCATTAATATGCAAGATTACTAAACTAACAGAAAGGAAACACCTCAAAAATTCTGAAAGGAAGATAAATATAATATCTTGAAGGTATTCACTTTCCCACTGCGAATAATAATTCATAGAAATAGTATCATGGTCCCATGGGGCCGGATGATTTCTTGCTTTATCTAAAACAGAATGAAAAAGCAAGACCAAAGATGTTAAGAACATCTGAAACTCTTGGGACTATAGTTAAAGATGCAATCATCCAAACAGAAAAGGAGAACAGAAGGTGGAAGAAGTGAAAGAACTTTAACTGACAAAAGATCTGCAAAATTGTTGAAGGAAGATAAGAACTAGAAATGATAATTCAATGCATAGAATCTAGAAAAACACAGAATATACATGATATTTTGTCCTTCTAAAATAGACAGTTAAGGAGAGATGAGGAATCTGAATATTAAATCATCTTCTTTTCCTCGGAAAACTAATTCAAATTACTGGTAGTATTGACAAATTAATCTTGAATTTATTAGCCAAAAACTAGAAATTAGAATCTTAGAAAGCAATGCAAAGTACCTTGAACCATTATCACCAAGGCCATGTAGCCAAACTATGGTTGCTTGGTGCCTACCTTTGGGCCTAACCACATGGGTTTTTCCAAATTCAAATGCCCCCCTTCTAGCACCTGAAATGTGAAAGTGCACAGTTCGAATACTAACCAACAGTTAAAATTAAACAAGAACAGGCTTGTGAAGTTGTAGAAAATCTATCACTCAACATAAATAATAGATACCAATAATCTAAATACTTATACCAACTTGCTGGTGAGCTATGATTATAGGCATTACCCCTGTAAATAAAATGGAGCAAAGCAGATAAACTAACCAGAACCAACAGAAGGACCTGTGAAGCTCATATTATCCCACCAAAAAACAGTGGCCAAACCCACCAATCGCACTAGAAGGAGCACTGATCCTGGAACGAAGAAACAAAATATTGATATTTATTTCACATCAAATGTCAGTTCAGCAAAGTGATTAGTCTGCACTACATTGATATATAATACCAGAATCTACAGGGGAAAAAAGCTTGTTTAAAAATAGGCAAATTACAACAAATTCATCATAGATTTCTCTCTGATCCAAATTACATATATTTCAAAAATCAAAACCCTTTACGAAAATGGGGTTTGAACTCTAAATAAATGAATATAGCCATTGCACATAATGAAAAAGAAACAGAAACCTTAGATGAAAATTCATAGGAAACGAAGATTATTATTAATAATAATATACCAGGGAAAAGAGTGAAACTTTAAAGGTCAGCTATTTTTTAGGATTAACTGGTTGCAAAAATTAGAAAATTTAACTCCAAAAATTTCTTAAAATAAAAAGATGAAAAAAATTCAAAAAGCAGAAACAGGGGAAAAGAAGATATCAAATGGAAGAAGGGGTTTCGTCGCGTTTTTGGCAATTTACCTTTTCCACTGATACGTCGACTGACTCCCAATAGCAAAGGCTTTAGACACTACCTTGGGGGGGGGGGGGGAATCTCTTCTTTTGGTCCCAATCTGAAGGCCAAATTTTCTCCGATATTTTTGTTTGTAATTCTTATCGTTTGGGTAAATTCTAGATTTCATCCCTTAAATTTATTTTTACTCCTAATTTTGACCGGTAAAACTTAAAATTTAAATTTTACCTATTGAACTTTCTTTCGACTTACTTCTATTTTGATTATTCATGTTTTAAATCATAAATGAAATGATTACATGACAGCTACATATGTTGATATAGATCACTTTTGATTAATATAGAGTTTATATCTCATCAATGTCATTTTTTTATCTTCTTTTAAAGGTAAAAGTTTTAATTTCATCACTATGTCACGTCTGCAATTATTATTCCCCGACAACTTCTCCAATCACTCAAGATATCGATAAACTCGTCTCATTATCTACCACCGCTCTATCAATTTAAATTTTATCTAAACCACTTTAAAACTTGTAAAATTCAATCTCATAGGACTTCAAATCACTCTTACTTGTAATATCCAGTATCCACTACACGATCTGCATTGAATCGATATATATAACTCGTGAAAATTCAAAATTAAATCCTTTTTTTTAAATGAAAAAATCTTAAATATTTAACAACAAACTAACTAAAGTAGAAAGTAAATCAAAAACACGATGAGCAAATTCTAGTGACCAAAATAAAAATGTAAAGAAAGTTGAGTGATGAAATTTATAATTTATCTAAATTATTTCACGGTCTCCAAAGTAGGACATGTTCTACATTATTTTTTAGAAGTGTATTCAGATAAAGAATATTGGTTAAAATTATTTTTAATTTTGATTAAAAATTGATTTTTAAAAAAGTTATTTCTCTTTTTTGTTTTTTTTAAGTATTTTTAAAACTCGAATCCTTTCAAAGAAAATAATGTGTTATCACTGAGACCACTCGATCAATGAGTTCCAAGAAAAGATACAAGACCAACAGAGATGGTTGACAAAAGAAGACCGATCAAAAGATGAAGAAAACCAAGAAGCTAAACGGCATGCCAGAAGCAGCCATGTACAGAAAAGCAAAATCAAGCTATGGACAAAAGAAACAAAACTTGCTGAACAGCATTTCAGCTTATGATTCTTGCTTCTTTCTTGTCATTGTCACTAATAATCTTCCCACATAAAGCATCATTCTGAACCCTGAGTACCTTATTTTCAAGTTTCAACTTCGCGTTCTCCTCCAATAGCCGCGGTACACCATTGTTAAGATTCACACTCTTCCTTAGTGAAGCATTTTCGGCCTTTAGTGTCTCATTTTCGAGACGTAACGGATCAGCCTGCAATTAAAACAACCGAGTGAAAAAAACTATTACCAATATATGTAAGCTCTAAAATGAGAAATAAATGTTGGCTTTTATAAGGAAACCATTTAGTAACAAAGACTATAAGTCTATCACCGAAACCCAAATGAAATCAGTAACAAATATGCAATGATTTTTGCTGGGAACTAGCAACTATGGCGGTGAGGTGATGCGACATGAAAAGAGAAAAATATGCAAATGTTTTGGGGCTAAATTGTTTTACTTAAACCTTCAACTTCCCATATCTCCATTTTTGTTCCCTCATGCCGAACAAGGTCAAAGAAACTTGATTACTTACACTCTCTTAACTAATTTAGTCCGTACGTGAATGGTTGCTTCTAAGATACCGGTCATGCTTCTCAGATGCTATTACAAATAAATTTAATCAAATTTAAAGTTAATAATTCCGGTTACTCGGACTTCATCTATTTCTCTAGGATTCTTTCATATGATATCCCCAAGCTTAAAGTTCCAAGCAAAGTTAACCCCTAATATCCATATTTGAGTGTAGCTAATGACCACTAGCTACTACACCCTGTTACTAGGACAAACTGGTGAGTGTCGGATAAAGATATTTTCCCTATAGAAGCGAGTTAAAATCATTCCAAGTTTTTCATATATTTGGGCGATAAAACGACCTCTGTAATCGCCCAATATGCGTTGGACATGTTAATTTGAAATGAAAATTTGCAGCAAGAATACAAATACCTGTAAACGAACCGACAGCGAATTGTTCGCAAATCATTTGGCGGAAAGTTTATTTATGTTCGTTTATTTATTAAACTAATAAACATGAACAACATTTAATGTTCGTTTAATTAAATGAACATGAACAATGGGCTTGTTAGTTTATTTAAGTTCAATAATTTGTTTGTTTATGTTCGTTAATTTATATTTGTTTATGTTTGTTCGTTTATATTTAGCCCAATCTCCAAACCCATTTACAATATTAAAACCTAATAAATTTTAACTTTAAACCCAATAATATTTTAAAACCTAATTAACTTTAAACCCAAATAAAAAATAATCAAATCAATTAAAGAAAATATAAACCCTAAAATTATTTGAAAAAAATTCTCAAATACAAAGTCAATTAATTTTATGCCTTTAGTTTATATTCGTTTAAGCTCGTTCGTTTGTGTTCGTTTACGTTCGTTAGTTTGTGTTCATTTATCATTTTACCAAAAGTACATAAACGAACACGAACAATCTACATTCCTTAATGAACGAACATGGACAAGAAATTTCGTTCACATAGTTGTTCGTATTCGTTTGTTTGTTCGGCTAAAGTTACAAACCAACATGAACATACTATCGTTCGTGTTCGTTCGGTTCGTTTACAGGCCTAACCATGCATGCCAGCATTTCAAGCCAGCATCCTTTAGCACTATTATGGTCAATTAGGAGTATATTCATTATTTCTTCAAGCGAAAAAGAAAAAGAAAAAGAATACATGTATATGAAGAGCAGCAAGAAAAGAGACATACAAGATGCTGTGCAAGTGTTTCCAAAAGAACATTTTGTTTGTCATGGTCGCGCTTCAGCCGCAAAAGATCACTCCGCAACTGATCAATCATTGCTACTTGCTTTGTCAAGGTTTGATTCATGGAAGCATTATCCTCTTTCAATGACTGATTCTCTTCTTTTAAAAAATCATTTTCTCTAGCAAGGTTCCCCAAATTCAATTGCATTTGCACTTTGTTATTCTGTTTCCAAAGGAAAAATATATGAATTCGTTACTCAAACTACACATCAATAGGAACAAAATCTTTATATGCATTGGGATTCTGCTTTTATTTTTTTAATTCTTCCTTTTTATATTCTCACTAAAATTTCAAACTGTGAATTTAGAACAGAAAAGGCAAAACCCCAGAATGAAAATTGAATCCTTTTCCGAAGGCATATTCCACAGTATCCAAATTCTTTCAAGAGAAATGAGGTGAACCTTTACTCTTTCGCGATATGCCTGATCAGTTAGCCTTTTCCTTTCATTTCGATCAGTTGCAGATAAATTAGACTGGCTTTTTCTCAAAGCTCTGGCACCAGAAGTGTTTGGAGATTGAGATGCGTGGACTGTGCTTCCATTAGTCTGGTTTAGGGTAACCCCACTGCTTACTCCGGGATGATTTTGCGGGTACATTAAAGATCCCTGATTCCATACTTGTAGCTGAAAAAAAAAAGTTTGAACTCAAAACCAAATTTGAATACAAATGGAATCTCCGTAACCTATCAAAACATTAAAATTTATGTATTCTATGTATTTAGAAGAAGAAGAAAACAACAGCCATAAACGGGCGAGGTATCTTGATAAGTTATCAGAAAAGTTGAAGATTATTTAGTCAACGACACAATCTAAAACATAAAAATGAAGAGAAAAAAACACATAAAAACCTTACTTTTTGTTCATCGTGATTAGATGAATCGGAAAGCAACTGGTTCCAGAAGGAATCCATGGATCGTATCGTCTCGGCAACCACAAATAGAGAGAAACTGAAATACGAGTGCCTTATTTAAAGCGAGAGAGTGATGATTTGCGACTTCGCATTACGCGGCATCGATGGCGTCGTGGATTTGGCGATACATCGTGCAGATAGCGTCGAGTCGCGCGATTTTCTTTCGTGATTCAACTTGGGGGAAAAGAAAGTTCTGGAGATTACATTCGACTGATCGACTAAAATTGAGATGCCATTGCCAAGCCCACGTTATGAAATCTGCTGGGCTTGGACTGAAATTTAACTCTCAAATGTTGCTCCTTAATTTGATCGTTTTTATTTCTTATGTTCTTCTAATTAAAAATTCAAACTCAATATCGTAATAAGATATAAATTTTATAAATTATGATACGTATATTTTATCATACTTGTCTTTTAGAAAAAGAATAATAATGTTGTGGCAAATAATATCAGAATAATCCTCAACAGTCTAATTTTACGTGGAACGCTCTTGCTCTTGCCTTTCCGTTCACTACTCTTCAATCCCCCCGACTTAGCCACCGGTTTTTGCTTTCTGCAGCAGCAGCAGCCTGTATCTGCAAGAATGGTGAGGGTCAACGTTCTGAACGATGCACTGAAGAGCGTACGATGCGGAGAAGAGGGGAAAACGTCGGGTCATGATCAGGCCTTCCTTTAAAGTGATCATCGAGTTCCTTTTGGTCATGCAGAAGCATGGTTACATCGGAGAGTTTGAGTACGTGATGATCGTTGTTGAACTGAACGGAAGGCTTAACAAGTGCAGGGTCATCAGTCTTCGTTTCGACATAGGAGTGAAGGAGATTGAGGGTTGGACTGCTAGGTCACTTCCTTCTAGACAGGACGAAGATATAGTTCCACATCAAAAGAAGAAGAGAAATCATAGAGTTTATAAACGCTAACGATGTAATCTTATTAAACGTATCTTTTGATTAGAGGATAATGATTCGAAATTATTAGTAATTTAGTTAAAATTATTAATAAATATTAATAAAATTTAAAATAATTTTCAATGGTCAATTGATTGCCACTAGTCAAAGTGAGATTAGTTTTCAATTTAACATAAATCACTATTTATTCATTATTTTTCCTAAATAAACCTAGAAAGTAGGGGTATATTCGGTTCTGTTCGGTTCGGTTTTTTATTAAAAATTGAATCGAATCGAAATAAACGAGTTTTTAGAATTTAAACCGAAACCGAATGGTTAAAAAACCCAATTATGTGAAATCGATTTTTTCGGTTCGGTTCGGTTTTTGTAAAGGTTCGATTTTTTCGGTTTGGTTTATCGGCTTTTCAATGAAAAATTCACTTGAAACTATAAATTTTAAAAAAATTGTTTATTCGATTCAAATATGGAACAAATGGGTTCCATATGAAAAACCCGAATCGAACCGAATCAAGAGAATTGAGACTTTAAACCAATTCGAAAATCGAATCGTATAAGATCAAACCGGACCAAACCGAATCTTTTTTCTCGATTCATGTCGATTTTTTGGTTTTTTCAGTTTCATTGCTCAATCCTACTAGAGAGAGAGAGAGAGAGAGAGTAGAGAATGAACACAATAAGATTAGAACAGATAATCAAAACCACAAGAAGCTATTCTTAGGCAGTTGGTAACTTGGCATAGAAAGCCCACCATATTATTCCTTGTTTATTATACTCAATTTCCATTATTCTTTCTTCTCCTTCTTCTTCTTCTTCTTCCAATTAAAAATATAAAATAAAAATTAAATCTTTAAACGCCATATATACTAATTTCTCCCCAATGAAAAATTCATATCAACAAATTAAATTCTTAAAGCACTGAGTAACAAAAACAAAAGCTAATCTTTTTTTCTCTCTCTTCAATCCTCCATCAAAGGTTAGTGAAACTCTTCCTCAAATTTGATGATTTTAAGTAATCACTTTATTTTTATTGTATATTTCTAATTATGAACAACTTCAGTTTTTGTTTGATTTACTGCTCTCTGTCCTTTTTCTTTTGAAATTGTTGTTATTTTTTCTTCTGTTTGGCTACTGAGAAAATGGTGGATACGTAGGCCGAAAGGCAGAAAGGCGATTAAATGTGTGATTATTGATTTTTTTATTGTTCTTAATTCCGAGTTTAAAGGTAGAAAGAGTTTGAACTTAGCAGATCACTTTAAAATTTTCCGGATATTCTGATTTCTTTTTTCCTGCATTTTCTTGCGTACCGAACAGACTCCTGACTGTTTTGTTTGTGTATCTACTTTAAACTAATTTTACAAGTATGAATAACGCTCGCATTAGATCTTTTTGTTGTTCTTTTCGATTAAAAAGTTTTCCCCCTAATTCAAATCATGAATAACGTTCGCTAGGATATTTTGACTGTATTCGTATGTTTTATTTAGTGTTTAATTTGTTTTATGAATTAATCATCTCATTTGTCAACGTCTTCTGCTGTCAAATAGGGATCATGAGATTCAAGAAAGGGACCACAGTAGAGGTCTTGAGCAGAAAAGAGGTGCCATCGGGCTCCTGGCATTGTGCTGAAATAATCAGTGGCAATGGCCACGACTACAAAGTTAGATATGAAGGTTATTCCGATGCGACTAACAAGACAATCATGGAGAAGGTATCTAGGAAAGCTATTAGACCTTGTCCTCCTGCACCAGCAGTGTCATATAATTGGGTTCCTGGTGATATTATTGAGGTTTTTGACAACTTTTCTTGGAAGATGGCAACGGTTTTAGCGATTTTGGAGAAAAAGTACATTTTGGTTAGGTTGCTTGGATCATCTCTGGAGTTTAAGGTCAGTAAATTTGATGCTCGCGTGAGACAATCATGGCAAGACAATGAATGGGTTGTGATTGGAAAGGTACTTCCTATCTTAATCTATATTCCTCCTGCTTTTGAAAATTTTAAGTTTTCAAAGCGATTTCAGCATTCACTTTTTCCCAGTTAAACGAATTTATGTTATACAAGGTTTATATATACTTATGTCCATCTTTAGTTTCCAAATGTATTTCATGTTTTTGTAAGTTGGGGTTAGCTTGAATATTCTCATTTATCTAACCTAAATGGCATCCCTTCACTCGGACAATAACCCTTCTTGATCTTAGTACTATCTATTATTTCTATTATGTGATGTCATATGTTTGGTTCTTGTTCCACAAGCCAAGATATTCATTTATGTTATTAATGTCTACATGCAGGGTTTTGGCAGTTGTGAAGATGTGAAACACGGTGAAAATTCCACTCTTAGACACAACCAAAATTCTAGCTCCCAATTTCAAAATACCATTAGAAGGACAAATAGGCATGTGAAGAATGAATGCGGTCGTGTTAACACAAAGGTTAATTACCAGGATTCTGTTATTGCTTCCTCAAGAACTCTTAAGAGAGGATGCTACTCTCAGGTTGAAGCTCATGCTGCTGGTGGACAGAAGCTTAGAGCAGTTGAGAGAAATGAAAGATTGTACCGACTGGTTGTTCCAAATCCATTTATTCTTGAACAGGTAGATGCTGTTGCTTTCCCAAGAGATATGTTAGGTGAAACATACATACATGCCTCTCTTAACGGCAGAACTGGGTTGTCTGAAGTGCATGGAGTCAAGAGAAGACCAAATGGAGCTGTTGGATGTTATTTTGCTGAGCATTTAGAAACGAATGATGCTGATAGTGTTACATGCTCTGTTGGTAGCTGTAGTGTGAGTAGTATCGATTTCTATAGGTTACCTCATTGTGTTTCTACAGGTCCTATTGAAGTTGTTGATGGTGAATGTAGTGATGCTGAATCTTTTTGTACAAGGGGAGACAAGGAAGGAAATTGTCTCCTTCCTAGGAAGGAAGAACTGGCTGCCAAGATCCATAGGATAGAGTTACATGCCTATCGTTGCATTTTGGAGGCCTTGCATGCATCAGGGACTTTAAGTTGGGAACAAGAAACTTTAGTGACAAATCTTCGTCTTTCACTTCATATATCTAATGATGAGCACTTGATGGAGCTAAGAAACTTAGTTTCCGCTGATAGCAGCATTCCTATAAGATAACATGGAGTGTCTGTGTCCCCCCCCCCCACTTTTGTTTCTTCCCTTAGAATTAGGCTTGGATAAATAATGACACTGGTGGCTACCTCAATTGTATCAAGCTTGATGAAATATGCTATTAATTTTCCTCGTTTGCGTATAGAGCATATAGTGATATATTTTGAAATGAAAGTAACACAACAGAAACCGTTAAATGTTTCTGAAATAAACATTTTGTATCAGTTCTTCCCTCTCTTCTTCTCTCCCTCATTTGTACATTTATATTAGCAAAACAGAACTTTGAGAAATAGCATATCGGGAATTTTCCAACAATTGAGCAGATATCATGAATGCATTTTTCTGTTTGTTCTCTTGTGTATATTTCTTGCTTTTGTTAGATGCACAACTGATTTATTTATGCTTTTATTGATATTTGAGTTGATTAATATTAAGGAAATATGTGTCAAGCTTTCATTTTGATGGGAATGTTCTCAGGGTATAATACTTTGTTTAAAGCATAATGATTCTCAAGTTGAGGTAATTATTGATGCTTCCCCCTGTATTTTCCAGGGCAAAAGAAGGAGGCTAGACACCTTCCTTCCAAATGCCTGAACTCTGAAGATGAGTTCTGGGTTTGGCACCTTTCTCTTGCTTTTCAACAGTGGGCCAATTTTTGTCGAGGGAGTTATTTTGAGGCACTAATTTCATTAGTATGTGGCTCGCTGGATGCTTCTATTTCAAGTCTTATGTGAGCCCTAGATATCTGTGTTCCTGAAAGATATAAGATCAGAATCTTGTGGGTGCCATGGGATGACCTGATATCTGGAATTCTCCAAAAGGTTTTCTTTTGGACCTTTATATAAGCTTCTCAATGTAGTGTGACATTTCTGCTGGGCCATGCATGTTTCACTTTGCTGCAAAGTAATCATGATGAGATCTTTGCTTCTCATGCTTTCTGTATTTTCATTGCATAATTTAACCTTTTTTTTTTCTTGTTGATAATGGATGGACTGAAATTTTGAACAGGATTGGACCGATTGGTAATGATCTTGCAAAGAGCAAGCATAAGATAATAATTGAAAATACATATTTTTGTCAATTTGGGAAGTATTTCACATAAACAATGGTCACATGGCATCTCTTTGTTCAAGCCACTTGGATGGCTGTAAAATAGAACTGTTATTAGCTAATCTGTGAAGGTGCTCCTTATGTGCAGTTTTTGCCTGTTAAGCCTGAGTCTGCTTTTGGATTTCTCGAAACAACGGTAGAAGATACCATGCTTGCTCTCCGATAAGATCTTCATCAGGCACAACTGAAATCTGTATTTTTACTCAAGATGCTGCCACTATTACATATACTAGAGTTATTTGTTTCACAAGCGAATAAGCATGTTGTCTGCTCATTAACATACACAAAGAAAATTATTCCTTTTTACCATGGAAATTGTTTACAAGGAGTTTCTCATCAAAAGTCATCATTTTGCTTATAGTGATGATGATGTCGTCTTACCCTAATAAAACTACTTACAATTGATACAATCTGTAGGGTATTTAGCATTCAAAATTTCTGTTCATTGTTCATCTTGCCATGGAGGATTATTCATAAGCTGAATCGTATGCGTTCTGCTTGTATCAGTGCAGAACATTGCTTGTATTTGAAACATATACGGACACCTTTTTCTAGTTGGGGATCCATTTCAGTTGCATGCAGATATGCAGTTAGAGTTGGAAGAAAATCTCGAAATCAAGGGAGATTGCGAGAAATTGATTCTAGATGCTGCTGCAGATGGAGTTATCTGGCAAAGCTCTGGGAATTTTTAAATATGCTGATACTTGGAACCGATGGAGGAACAAATTACTAAAGTTTCCTTGGAATAAGTTGATTTGTTCGTATGTGTGTACCAAATATTTCTTTGATAGCCTGGTTAGCAATCTTGGAATAATTCAGGGCAATACGCTACTTGTACCAAATATATAAAAGCATTACACAGTTTTAAAAATGGAAATAGAAGAAGATTTAGCCTTCACTTGTGCAACAGTCCATTGCACCTCCTTATCCCATTCTCCCACACTGCACCGAACACCACACATGGAGAACAGTCTTCCGAATGTCAACCGAGAAGGTGCACTCAAGAAAATATGATTTCTTGACTCTTCCTCATCCATGCAAAGCACACAAAACCCATCCACAGCAACTCCAATCCGGTATAACCTATACTTAGTAGCCAGTCGGTCCGACACAGCCAACCAAGAAATAATAGCATGCCTTGGCGCATGCAAAGGAAACCACACCAGTTTCTGCCATGAGACTTTGGCTTTTGCAACGCGCGTGTCAAACCAGATCCTCCTAGTCGAGACGCGACTACTAGTAGTGGAGACAAACAAGGGCCTAGCTACCTCACGAAAAGAAACAAACCTTCTTTAGGCTCCGGCTAATCCAATTGATCTTAGGCTCAAAACTCCATAAATCAGCCCCTTTGGTAACGTACGATCTCACCCAAGCCACCCACAATGAGCCATCATTTGCAAGGAGTTTCCTGAGCAATTGGAGCAAGCAAGCTCGATTCCATCCAGCCAGATCCTCGAGTCCTAGCCCCCCCCCCCTAGCAGGTTAGTCTGCTCCCACCCAAAAAAAACCTCATACAAATCTACTCAATTCTCTTCACAACAGCCTTCGAGATGATTAGTTGTCGAGACCTGAAAATAACAGTTCTAAAAATCACAGATTGTATTGACTGTATGTAGCCTACCAACATAACTTCACTTCAAGTTCGACCAATGGTCAACCTTCCTTCGTGTTAGACTCTAAAAGATTATGACAGTCTCTCTCGGATAATTTTCTGGTTACCAACGGAACTGCCAAATATCTAATAGTAAGTTTTTCAATCTTAAATCCGTATTTTTATTTAATTCGTTTCTGAAACACTATGGAATCATTAATATAATGACAGTCATCCGTTCCTCAATTATTTATCATTGAACGTATGTTGAGCAGTTAATGGTTTCGATAAACTTTCTTAAAAGATCTAGATTTAAACTCACCCACACATACAAAGTATTATTATTATTTTAATAACATATATGTAAACTACGCTCATTTAAATTCGGATCACTTAGAAAGAACAAAATTATCATATCAAACAACATATATTCACTGTTTAAATTTATTATATGTATATTTAAATTTTAAGTTGTTTTCGATTCTCATACATATAACCAGATGAAAACAATTATATGATTCTCCCTTTATATAATTTTTTATTGTTTTTTTTTATTTATTATCCTCGTTTCTTTCATTTTAATTTTAAATTATGTAAACATTCAAATTTCTTTCGAAATTCCTGTCATATCAACGTAGGTATGTCCTACAAAAAATGACTTTTATAAAAAACAATCTACATGGCACACTTTATTAAAAAGATGTTATTTTCTTAAATAAACTTCTTTTAGTATCATTTACTTAAATAAATATTAAATAAGTATCACTCCCATAAATTTATCTCGGGTTTCATTTTGGAATTCCCATAAGTTTAGTTGCCTTTCATCACTGAATAATTCTCAAATAAATGCTAATACACTCTGAAAATAATAATAATTAAAAGTAATTAAAAAACTGAGACATTATTTCCTTTTTTTTATTATTATTGAATAATAATATTATTTCCTTTTTTATGAATTGCACATTATTTGCAGCCTGTTAATCAAAAAAAGGTTTTCGAAAAGTTGAATTTATGGAGTTCAAAATCCAGAATCGAGGAAATTCTAGGGTTTAAACTTTAATATATCGAGTGACTGTAATGATAAAAGAAAATATTATCCTTCCTAAACATCTTGAACTCGAATAGTTATGTCATTGTTGTGTCTATAGGGAGTGTACATTTGTCAATTAGTTAATAAAATTTTAAATATATACCATCTTACAATCACTTTAAACTATATCAATCATCGCAATGGTTAGTAATTAGTAAACTATAACATGTATTTAACAAGCATGATGGGATTTCAAATAAAGAACATACAAAGTTGGGTACAAAACAGAAGCCTAGATGGTGTTTAGATAAAGGAGGGTTGTCGATTTATTTCCCGTCGACTTGGGGCTCATCATGTCCTCGGCTTTCGCTTTTGATCCCAGTTCACATCAACTTGCAAAATGAGGGTAAGTGGAAATTCCAATATTCTTCTCAAGAATCTCATATCGCATATGGATGGCAAAATCCATAACACCGACAATAAACAGAAAGTCGGAAACAAAATCCACCATAACAACAATTATATTCGAAAATTTGTAGCTAAAACTACAAATGCCCCGTGTCCTCAAACGACCTCACAAACCATCCCCTATTTCTTCCCGTTTAATAATGAAAAATATTAAAATGACAACACAAATCCAACCGAGCTGAAAATAGAAAAAGCAGCACAAGAACTGAAATCCTCTCTTCTACTCAAATGCATCGTCGTCGTCGTCTGGAAGAGGCTGACTGGCTGCCGCTGCAAGCTCAGCCTCGTGCCTACAACAAACCAATCAATCAAAACACAAATTAATAAATGCCTCCTAATCCACAGGTAACATTGAAGATAAAACCAAAAAACAAGTATTGTGAGGATTATCATACTGTTGCTGGGCAGCCAAGTCGATATGAACTTCAGGAGGAGCAAGAGCAGGAGACTCAACAAAATGAAGATTAGGGTCACTGAAATCATCAAAATTAGGCATCAATCAAGGCATCTGCATTAAAACATTAATTATGCAACAAAGGCAATTTCATATTACCCGGCAAGCTTCCTGGCAAGGTATAAGAAAGGCTTCTCAAAATTATAGTTGCTCTTGGCTGAAATTTCATAGTATTGCAGGTTCTTCTTCCTGTGGAATGTGACCTGCTTTGCCTTGACCTGCCTGTTCTTTACATCGACCTTGTTACCGCAGAGAACAATAGGAATGTTCTCACACACCCTGTGCATTAGCAGAACAAAATTGTTACATAAAGCTGTTACAAAAACCATAAAGAGGTGAAGATTGCCAATCATAACTCACCTGCAAAGATCACGATGCCATGTAGGAACATTCTTGTAGGTCAACCGGGCAGTAACATCAAACATAATAATGGCACATTGCCCATGGATGCTGCAACACATGATTAAAAAAATTGTAAGAAAACCACTACAACGCAATAGCTTTAACATAGGCTCATCAAAACAATAAAAGCCATGAAAAGTTCAGGAATAAGCCAATCGATAAAGAGAACTAAACGTGCACATCAAAACCCTAGCTAAAAATAAGAACGTCATAAAGTTTATACAATAACAATAAAAGGACATTCATCTGGGCTCTGGCATTACTCAATTAATCAAAAAACCGCAAGTCATAAAATGACTTACTAGTAACCATCTCTGAGACCACCAAACTTCTCTTGCCCAGCAGTATCCCAGCAATAAAACCGGATTTTCCCACAGTTAGTGAAGAAGTCCAACGGGTGAACCTCCACTCCAATGGTTGCTGCACATTCAAAAATGATAAAACGTCCAAGTAAACATCTATATCAAGGCACTCAATTTGCTCAAACAGTACCAAAACCAAAACCAATACCAATGTTCTTAAAACACTTACGCTCGTATTTCTTTTCAAACTCTCCAGTTAGATGCCTCTTCACAAAAGTGGTCTTTCCTGCACCCAACACATCAAGTTTAAGCAATTCCAAAACAATGCGTCCACTTATTTAAAATTAATAAGCTTAGATTTTATAACTAAATGAAAAGCTGAAGACTAAAAACATATATGCAAGAGTAAACAAGCATATTTATCACAGTGTTATAATGTACACAGATCAATAACCATGGAAATGAAAAAGTATAATAATACTTTATTTTCACTTAATATATCTTTTTAATTCAAAATCTACATCAATTAGCATCAAATAATACCAGTTCGACCTTCCAACCAGTTAACCGTACCAAATAAAACCTTGTAAATCGAATCTACGAGCAAAGTAAAATGAAATTACCAGTTCCTCCATCGCCGACTATGACGAGCTTGAAGCTCGGATAATCAACAGTTTGCTGATTGGGCAACGCCTGCACAATGAATCAACAACGAAAAAGGAAAATCAGGATCTATCTCGAAACTAAAACCATAGATTATAGATAAGATATTGAAACAACAAAAGATACAAGCAAAAATTTAGAGAGATATCGAAGATTTCACCATTAAGCAACAAAGAGAGGAGAAATGAATCTGCAAATCTTGCGTTTATTTGGAAAAATCAGGGGATCGGAGCGCGAGTGAATTGGGAGACGGCGATAGCCAAGGGTTTTATAAGAGTGAGGGCTTTTGTGGAGTCTTAAAGCTCTTTGGTCTTAGGCCCCGACTTTAAATTGACGCAACTCTCTGTGCCGTTGGATTAGACTAATCTTCACCATTTTCTTCTATCATCTAAATCCTCTCCGCCGTCCGATTATTTCCCTCTGGGGTCCACTTTTATTATGACGCGCTAATGCCTTCTTTTGGATTTTGATTTTCAAGGGAGTGGACGGTAATTTGGTAAATATCATCTTGGGCATTTTAGAAAAAAAAACGTATGTCATTTTGGATTTTAATTTCAAAGCAAATTCAAACTCCTTTTATTACTATTTTCCCCATCTCAGTTATTATTTCTATGTAATTGAAAAAAACATTAAATAATTTAAAAAAGTTATTGGTAATTTTTTATAATCATTGATATTAATTTATTATTTAATTAATTCATATTAAATATTTTAAAAACATATTATGAAAACCAAGGTTAAAAGGGCTCAAGCCTGAGTTTACATTTTCAATCAGCTTTATTGCAGTTAAATTATTAGTTTATATTCACATAAGCTCAATGCGGAGCTACAGCCTAGTGAGGGTGGGCATGTACCAACTTGAAATTCAATTTTTTTTATTAGTTATTTTGATGATGGTACTTATCTTGAAATTTTTTGTACCCACTCTAAAATTTGAGTTTTCTTTGATTAATTACTTATCTTCTTTGACGGTACCCACCCTAAAATTTTACTTGTACCTATCCTATTTAAAATTTAATGTTATTACCATATGTGTGTTCCCGGTAAAAAATATTATAGATCCGCCACTCATCTCAATACCCAATGATGAAGCTAGTTTTAGGCCTTCAAATATACTCCATAGTTCCGTCTGCAATGCATTCGTAATTTCACTAGGTTTGCAAAAGCCAGCGAGCCAATTACCTTCACCGATCATTGCTGGTGATACCTCCAACCGAGCCATAATTGGTGGAGGCTGAGACTGCAGCAGCCGTGTTGAGACAACACCAACGCGGAGAGACTTTTGCCACTAGAATGTCATTGGTACATTCGGTGTCGAGATAGAGCTAACTTCCTTGCAACCATGAAAGTGCTTGGCCTAGTGTACTTTGCGAGCAAAGACAGAATCAAGGGGGGCGTGCAGTATCAAGTACCAATTCATCCCCACTTTTCAAAGTCTGTCAAGTCAAAGAAGTGAAGAGGAGATTCCATTGGATGTTAAAATCAGTCAGCATCATATAACCGGTGGAGAGGCAGTCATGAAGATGTAAAGAATTCAGCCGCAAGAGAGGGTGGAAGGACGTGTAGCCATGTACCACGGGTTATAGGATAATCCCGAAGCATATGGAGCATCGCTTCTTCATGCAAATCAGAGTTCGACTAAGAAGGGTCGTCGGAAAGCGATCTCTTAAATCGTTCGAGGTTTGTCATGAGCTAACCATAAGAATAGGCGGATACGTCGAGGGAGGTGAAGATGCCTTATTTTCTTTCATATGGGGTCTTTCTCGTCCCAATTAGGTTTGATGAGGGAGGCGTAAGCAGTGCAAATGCTTAACTGATTTTGCGGAATCCAACGCCTAAGTCATTGGTCGTTTGCATCGACATTGTTTGGAGGTATTTAGGCAATGCTATTATATTATAAAGGAGGTAAATTACATGTTAGTACTACAATTATTATTTTTATTCTATTTTAGTTATCTAACTAGTTTTTTTTCCCAATATCATACTTAAATTTTATATTTTGATCACTTATTGTTAAAAATTTATTATAACTACTGATGTAATGACATTTTTATTTTTCAATGATGGCATGTCAGTATCACCATTAATTTTTTTTAATAAAGTACGTAAATAGTCTCCTAACTATAGCGTGTTGCTTTATTGAGTACCCGACTATTTAAAGTTATAAAATGATCCTACAACTATATGGTGTTGCTTTGTTTAATCCATCGATTATTAAAAGTTACAAAATGGTCATTGAACTATTCATATGTTCCAAATTCATCCTTATTCGGTAAAAATTGAAGGTCATTTGAACTGGATAATAACATGCTAATTGAGATATGGTATTCTTTTGAATTTTGAAGATCATATTTTACTATTTTTAACATATTTCAGTCAGCAAATTAAAGTCCAACTCATACTATCGTTAATTTTTTAACTAAAAATGACAAATTTGAAACATATGAATAGTTTGGTGATTATTTGTAACTTTTAATAGTCAGAGATTTTACAAAACAACACACAAATTTAAAACATATGAATAGTCGGTGATTATTTTGTAACTTTTAATAGTCAGATGATTTGATAAAATAACACCCCGGGAACTATTTGTATACTTTATCTTTATTTTTTAAAGACGTGCCTAAATTAAATATTAGATCTAATTTTAAAAAAATTGTGTGACCTTACCAGAATAAAAAGTTAATTAAAAGAGTAGTTTACCCAATTAATTTATAGAGAAATTAGAGAAACGATTTATGCATGAATATTTTATGTATAAAATTGAAAAAATTATATGATATGAAAGAATTAGATATATTTTATATATCAAGCAGACAATAAATGACAAATATATTAATAGCCCTGAAACAGCCTATCGAACGGTGGGCGGAAAAAAAAGGTCAGGCAAGAATTACTGTATGCTATTCGATCTTTTCATCTGGATCACGGCTAAGCTCGCCATCTTCACTTCCCGCTGAACGTATCTCTGCCCCCAAACCTCTCTAAGTAATTTATTCAAGCTCATCCATGGCCATCCCTTCTGATAACTCTAATTCGTAAGTGCTTTCAATAATTCTACATTTTCCATATATTTTGTTGGCTATTTCTCGACGATAATTCGTTTCTTTAATTCTCGCAATAGATTCTTAAATATTCTATTTCAATACGTATTCGCAGGGAAGTTGTTTATAGGAGGCAAAACAAAGGGCCCCCTTTCAAGTTCCTAGTCCCTTTAGTCTATGCCCCTGTTCTCCCTTTAAGTAAGTATAGTATCTCTCCAATTTCCCCCCGTTAGGGTGATTTTGATCTCTGCGTTTCGTTTCTCAGATGTTAATATTATATGGGGGTTTTTTTTTCATTTTTCAGTTCGACTTTCTTTGAGGAAGAACCCGGTTTTAAGGGACCGGCTGTTTACTATCGTGTTGGCTGGGGCTTTTGTTCACGGTTCTTATTTAGTGTATCCTTATTCTATCAATCTTATTTTGTTTTACTTACTATACCTGATTGTTGATTCTGTTCTTTTTTCCTTTGAATCATTCGTGCTTAAATTATTGAGATATGCTACTGCGTATTCTTTTGCGTGATTAAATTATTGTGTGGATATTTGGGTTAAGTGTTTAAATTGTTCTCTTGTGTATTGGCTAAATTGGTGATTGGTGCAAGTCATATAACACAGTAGCATTTGTGGATGTTAATAATGCATTGGTAAATGTTGCACCTAGATGTAGGATGACCGGGCTTAGTCTAATAGTTTTGAGTTAGTCGAGCTAATGAGTCATGTTTTATAACTCAAACTTTATTTGAAATTTTTTGAGTTGAGTCGAGTTGATCAAGTTTATGTTTAAATTTGATTGTAAATATTTATAATGTTATGGTATTAATTGATTTCAATTTAAATGACTTTAATCATATATGATATACATATATATTTCTTCATATGCGATTACATATATTATGCAGGATTGATGGAGTCGACTTGAACTTGAAAATCAATCCATTCATTACTAAAAATTTCGATTTATTCGAGTCTTTTTATATCTCAAACTTTATTTGAAATTTTTTTGAGCGAGTTTATGAAATTACGAGTTGACTCGAGTTTTCTATCTAGATGTTTGGCCCAACAACACTAGGTGTTTGCATGATTGCATCTTCCAGTTTTAAATGGTTGGCTTTGACATGTCATTCAATGATTTATATATGCAACATATTTGCAATAGGAGGTCCTTTGCTTTGAACGATACATGAGTCTGCACAATGCATGACGCTGTTGTTGCCCCTGAAAGATTGGTACATTCGATTGTAAGGAATTGATGGATGCATATAAGCAAGATTAAGTTTTTTTTTTTGGATTCTTTTTGCTTTGAATTAAAACCTCGGTGCATTGGTTTCTGAAATGTTTTAAACTGAAAAATGGTTTTTTGTAAGCTCTAAGTAATCCAACCTTTTCAGTTGTTAAGAATGCCATTTCTTATGGTTATACAAAGGAATCATGTTTTTGGCCGAGTCTATAGGGGTTAGATGCGTATGAAGAGGTAATAGGAGATTATATTTTTTTTTCACTTGTAGTAATGAAAATAACCACAGGTAATCTAAATGGTAAGATTCATACCTTATATTTATTCTGTCAGCTAAAATCATACTGTATAATCAAATAAACGACAATTTGTTCTACGATAGTAACATTTTTTATGTATATTCCAATTATTTGTTCTTCTCTACTTAATATCCCAGAATCAAATACTATGTTGTTTTGGTAATCATGCTTCTCTCTCTCTCTCTCTCTCTCTCTCTCTCTCTATATATATATATATATATATATATATATATATATATATATATATATATATATATATATATATATGTTTCTACTAGTCATTAGAAACACTTATTGTAGACATCTTCTTGTCAGTATGTTCCTCGTTCTCTTTTTTTCCTCTTCTGCTTTATTTTCCTTAATAAGTTTTCAGGGCTGATCTATATGATGCTGAGAGCAAGTGAACATGCAGAGAGTTTGGCTTGAGGAACTGGTTTTTATCTCTTTAATAATTTTCTTTTATGGCACAGAACAAGTTGAATAGTGTATTCTTCTCATTCCCTCTATTGAGGAATGATAATTGTATCTCGCAGTTATAATTCATTTCGGGAATTAATTTCGATTTTGAAGAGAAATAAGATAGGGTGAGCTCTGCTTCTTGTTAAACTTGTGTGATCGATGTGCAGGTCACGTATACACATTCAGAGTTGTTAAGTTTTGATGTTCTATAGTAAAACAAAGCCATCCATACATTATGCATACTGATCTGCATCGTTGTCAAGTATTTATTTTGTATAGTAAGAACGAAATTTTTGGGGTTCGGCTTTGTTGATTTGGAGGAAACGAAACGGGAATCAAGTGGCTGGGTTAGTTGTGTGTTGGACCACAGCCCTTTGGCATGATTCTTGTTCTTTTTCAGCAGTTCTTTCACATGTTTGGAAAATTTTGCGACTTCTTGGATTTTGTTTTTTTCTTAAGAGAAACCCTTTACGATGTCAAAAGGGCATGCTTTGACAACCCTTTCCTCTTCACTTTTTCGCCTTTTGTTTGCAATATGTTACCCATGGGAACTTTGAATGGACAAAGAAAGAGATGCACACTTGCCACATAAATACAAATTGAATGAAGCGTACACAAAGAATGACCAGCTAAGTTTGATGGAATCATATTAAAAAGAAAAGCATCAAAACCCTGAACTTAGCATATTCTTGTTGATACCTTCTTAACGTCCTCTTCTCTTATTTACGATATTTGGAGATTCTTATGACGGCCTACGAATAACTACGATGGTAGGCCTGTGATTCCAAACAACAGAAAACAACAAAACATTCAACATCTTCACATCGAATCCTAAAGTGGTTCCCCTTCGTTACAGTGTAATAGCAGTTCTAATCTGCAAACTACGCCATTAGGCACAACGATTCTACATCGGATATTCAGTAATTTGACATCGTCTGTTTAAAAAAAAAAATGCAATTTGACATCGTCATCTTGGAATTCATTGTTTAACAAATTCTTTCATCCCTTAAGAGAGAGAGAGAGAGAGAGAGAGAGAGAGGACGTACAATTTATATTTCAATCATAAAATAAAGAGGTTCAAAACAAGGACTGAATCGCCAGTCACGGAGAAGAATTATCCTTGAAATCGGAATCGAGTCGGGAAGCGATAGCTGAATGGTACATGACGTCGTGAAACGATGACGTGCTTGTAGTCATCATACGGAGTTGCCTCGCCTTATCTTCCGTCAATCGACCCGGAAGAAACCTTGCGATCGTCGATTTTTGTCCGGCTTCCGTTTCCAATTCACCTCGTCTTGATTTCTTCAGCTCGGTATCCTTATCGGAATCGATGTAGTCGGGATCGGACGATACTCCAAATAGCGGCGCAAACCACCACGTCGAGGAAGACGAAACAGTGGGACTCTTCCAGCGGTCGGAGTGAGGTTTAAGGTAACCGGGAATAGCACAGGCGTTGAATCCGGTGGGGCAGAAAGTGAGAAGATGATTAGCCATAAAGAAATAGGGATTTTGGAATTGGGAAAAAATTTAAGAGCAGCTGACAACTGAAACTGGAGAACTGGGTTACAAACCACTGAGCTAATGCTATATTCTCAATACCAACGTATAAAAGATGGGTGGAGTAACGGATAAGTCGGTAACAGGTGGAGGTGATTGGTAGGGTTCGGTTCGCCTTTCTCTTACCGGATGGTCCGGTCAATCTTTTGGTCTGATTTTATGGGTCCCGGGATGGATGTGACATTGATGGTTATACCATTTGACTATTTTAACCCTCTTACTTTTCTTTTCCCCCTTTCTCTAAGGATTACTACTATTTAGGCATTTCATCTCCGTAAAAGATCTTTTAGGTCTTCTTAATTGTAAGGTAAAGCACACTAATAGATATCATCTTAATTTTAAGGGTAAATTAAACTATTATTCAAAAGATAAACTACATCATTTCTCATTCAACTTCAATCTTTTTCCTATTTTATTTACTATGCTTTCAATTTTTTCTCAATTTATGCATTACAATTTCGAATTGTTGATGTTTTTATCATTATAAATTATTTTATTATTATTGTTCTATGATGTAGTATTTTTTATTATTATTTAAATATAAAATTAATTTAAAATAAATAATAAAATAATATTTTCATTTTTCTATCATCTACAACGTTACCACCGCTCATTCTCGTTATCGTCGATCACTGTTAGCCTTCAGAACCAATAACCATTTAATCTTAAATTGTACCAAGAGACTCACTTTATCACGCTGAGTCTGAATATGGTGATTGTTTCACGAGAAAATGTCTCAGAGCTCGTAAATCTCAACTAAAATATTTCGGTTTTCTCACTTTTGATCTCATATTCGTGGATTTCGGAGCATCTTCCGACAAAATAGATGTCAGATTCGGACTTAGAGAGTTGATACGAAGCGACCCATAAAATATGTGATCGAACAGACAACGTCTAAAGCGGTTGACAAGCTGTTGGCGTTTTGATTTTCTCACTTTTGATAGGATCTAGAGTATAAAAATGGAGGTCGGCTTTGGACTCAAGAGATCGAAACGAAACAGCCGATGAAATTTGAGATTGAACGACAATCATCTATGGCTATCGACGGTGGCGTCTGACGTCGACGAATAGTGGACATCCACCATCTATTTTATTTTATATTTTAAATTATTTTAATATTAAATAATAATAAAATATTATGTTATTAAAATAATAAAAGTAATAAAAAATAATTCAGAGTAATCAAAGCAGGAACAATTCGAAAGTTCAATGAGTAGATTGAAAATACTAAATATATAATTAGTGAAATAAGAGATACTAAAGTTCAGTGAGAAATGATATAGTTTACGCTTGTTTAAAATACTACGTCACTTCTTAAAATTTATGTTCAGGTATATTTTGATTATCTATTTATTTGATAAATATTAAAGATTTGTAATTAATATTATCAATATAATGAACAACGTTATATAATAATATTATAAATATAAAATTTATAGATTTCAATGAGATATTGATTTGGATTTTTAGTCTTATTGTTTTTAAATGAATATTGATGATAAATTTATTATTATAGTTTCGTTTTAGTTGAGATACTTAGGTTAGATTTATTAAGTTCAAAAATATTAGATTCACGTTCAAGAGGTTTAAAATGAATAAACTTAAATTTTTTAGGTTTAAAATGATAATATTTATAATGTTAGACACTTAGAATATTCGAAAAATAGTTTAGACACCTAAATGAGAAAATTGTTATAGTTTGGGTAATTTTTTTATATTAAGTATTTATTATATGCTTAACTACATTTGCATGTTTTTAAAACCAAAATTTATTATTATAGTTTCGTTTTAGTTGAGATACTTAGGTTAGATTTATTAAGTTCAAAAATATTAGATTCGCGTTCAAGAGGTTTAAAATGAATAAACTTAAATTTTTTAGGTTTAAAATGATAATATTTATAACGTTAGACACTTAGAATATTCGAAAAATAGTTTAGACACCTAAATGAGAAAATTGTTATAGTTTGGGTAATTTTTTTATATTAAGTTTTATTATATGCTTAACTACATTTGCATGTTTTTAAAACCAAAATTAATGTTTCAATAAATAATTAATTAACCAACAAAAAGTAAAAAACAGATTAATAAGCCAATCTTGATTTTTAACGTTCATTGTATCAGATACGTTCATCGTTCATGCAGCTGTCGACCAGGCTATCTTGCATGATTCGGCTTGCCTGTCTCAATAACGGCCGGACTCTAGGGCTTGTCGGTCGGCTTTGTATCAGACAAGTTCATGCAGCTGCCCTAGGGATCAACATTTCATCTTCATTCGATGAGTTTTTACTCGATCTGATTTGGTTCCCGTCAAGTTTTTATTTTAAAACTTTAATTTCAAGTTCGGTTTTATCATATTTTTCTAAGGATGCGATTGAGTTTAATTTTTGTTTAGGGTGAGAAATCCGATCAAACATAATATTATAATTATGAATTATATATTTATAAATAATTATATATTTTTTGCAATTAAAACCTTATTTTATATGTGTAGATCGGGTGAAAATTTTAAACATAAAAAGGATCGAGTTTCGAGTTAGGTGGGATTTTTCTAAACCCGAACCGGGTCAAATACAAATGAGATAACCTAAGTTTTTAATATAATTCGAGTAGATTAAAAATCTAATCCGATATGTGATCATCTCCCGCCCACGTTTTTAATATATTTAAAAACATGTCATTATCTTAACAATACTTATGAAATTATTATTATTTTCACTAAAATGCATCAAATAAAAATCGTTTTATATTATGCATATAATAACATCTCCATCAATACATCTAAAATGGGAAATAAAACTATAAACTACTACACATAAATAATATAATTACTATATACCAATTAATTAATCATAAAAGAACACACCTGAGTAATCTCATTAACCAACTGGCTTTCTTTATAAAGTACAAATGAATGAATAATTAATTAATAAGCTAATGTATTTACTATTTAAATATACATGTCATGATTCTTTTCATTAATACATGAGTTTCCATCAAATATATATAGGTTTACTTTATTTCCTTTGCGTAACTATTCTTAATATGATACTATATATATACACGTCTACATGTTGGGTCATACATTTATAAATAAAAAATCAATTAATACATAGATAGTATAAATAAGTATTTTTATTTTAATACATCAAGTGGTCTAAATGATAAAATAGAATATTAATCTCTCCATAGATTTTGAGTTTGAATAGCGATGTCATGATGTGCATGCGTTGTCAATAAGTTAAAAAAATTATGAACTGATCCTTGTAATCATCTTAGGTTATTAAAAAAGTTGTTTATTTTAAGGTTAAAGCGTTTTATTTATGATTTATGATTTACAGGTTTATGTTTAAGTTTAGAATTTAAAGTTTCAGAGCTTATAATTCAAAATTTTGAGTTTTAGGGTCAAAGGTTAAGGATTAGAATAGATAACCAACAACCAGTTGGTCTAGTGGGATAAGACACTAGGTTCCTTAAGCAGGGTTAGGGTTTCGAATCTTGGCGTTTGCGAATGGAGTAAACTGGGTTGAGAGGATTGCCCTCGCCTTTGTAGTACCCGATCTGGATTAGTTGATTAATAGATCGGAGTAGTGATTAATTAAAAAAAGAAGAAGATATGATTATAATAAATTTTAGAAAATATGTGAATTAAATAATATCCCTTTATATATTACAATACCAAAATAAACTCTCATCCACTAAATACATAGATTTAATATACGTGTCAAAATACTAGTATAGTAATTGTTTTTTTATATAATATCAAATTTCGTCCTTAATATTCATCAGAATAATATATTTTCTTCCATTCTTATATAATTTTGATCAAAATGAATTATTTTATAACATGAATTAAAATTATAATAGCATAAGAATATATTTGTAATATCAAATATATATAATTATTTTATAAATTATATATTTTTAATAATTGATAAAAAATATTGATGACTTAAATAATTAAATACTTTAAAAATATTAAGTTTTTTAAGATAGTATGGTGACAATGGTGTGTATGGATGGATAGTCTTCTATTTCTGTGATTACTCTTTCCGGAAAAGGAAAGAGTCAACGCTTTTGCCCCTTCTGACTTTTGAAATAGAACATATGTTATGTTGTAGAGTGTTCGTCATATGGACATGCTCGACGTTAATATGAATATATTGTATGATGTGATTGTGTTGTTATGTGTGGTTCGTAATAGGGGCGTATGCATACGGTCACATAGGGGTCAAATGCACACCTATTATTTTTTATTAAATATTTATTATAGTTCAATATATTAAAAAAGAAAAAAAATAAGAAATTTTGTATACCCATTATATTGAATAGAAGGCTATTAAAATTTTTGAACCCATATTTCTAAATTTCTCGATCCGCTACTGGTTGATAATATTTTATCTAAATTCGAATAGAATGAAATAGATGGCCTTTTTAATCTTTTATTTAGGTTATTGGGGAGAATTATTTATATTCGAACTAAAAATTTAACAATACAAGTCATTAATAACTACACTCGTAAATTAATAATTAGTTTATTTAGTAAAATGAGACATTGGATTTTTTAAGTATAGTCATCAACTTGACATTATAATCATCACTATAATGCATTTTTATAGTACTTATCTAATTAATCGATTAATAAATTAAATATTAATAATTAAATTTTGAAGCTTTTATTAAATGCCACTTGCTGGCGTGATGGCATATTATTGCGCTATTTTTTGAAGATTGATGAGCCGTCCAGTATTATAAAGTTGACTCTCATTATTATAATTATAAAATAAATCTAAAAGATTGGTTTGAATAAAAAAGTTAATTTATTTGAAGATAAAAAATGATTATATATTATTATTATTATTTATTATACCGATAGTGATTTTCGTAAGTAGGATTTTAGCGTTGTTAATATATATTTTATTTTAAAATTGTAGACTCTAGAGTCTAAAACTTTAAATTTTAATTCTTAAATAGAACACACGATACCGTTA